AAGCAGGCCCCCAAAAGTCAGAAAATTTTCTCTGATTGACCTAAAAAACTCTGATATTTCAGCCTTTTTTTAAGTGGACTCTGAAACTTCAGCCTTTTTTCTCTGTGAACTCTGAAAAGGCAGATTTTTTTTAATGCTCTCTCTGATATTTCAGATTTTTTTCATGAGTGTACTCTGATCCATCAGAGATGAAACGCGAACCTACTCTGGTTTTGACTATGCAAGATTCGAGGATATCCCCTTGTTGGCACCAGCGCATGCGAAATCCAGTTTCTGATTGGTTGTTTAGGCAACTTTTGACAGCAGCCTAGGGCTCGACCAATACACATGATGCCCAACCACTGCGCGCGAATTTGTCTTGCACATTTCAGAAACTCTGCACCCGTGTTTTTTTCCCCACTCAGTTGCACCCAGGTTATAGGCACGCGGATCAACTTGCATTTGGGCGAGAAAACGCCAAAGTATGAATCTTAGGCGCAAAACAAACCATGCTGACCCGGTAGGTTCTTGTTTCTTGGCCAGAAACAAGCATAAACCCAAAACCCTGAACTGACAACAACACAGGCCCACCAGCACTGTTTTGGAAAAAACAAACGAGTTACAACCTGTGTTTTTTAGAAGCACCTCAACACCCTGGCGAAATGGAACGAACTGGGCGAAATGCCTAAAACGTTTATAAGCCCAGAGCACAACCCAAGTAGGGGGGACTCAAACGGGCATCAGGTGTACCCACATTGCAGCCTTTGGCTGCAAACAGAAGAGTGATGGTTGAAGCGACTCCTCGTTGTCGTGCATCGAAGGAAACCGCCTTTCACTAGGGCCTTCACAATCGACAAAGGTCCTTCCTTCGTCTGTCAGGGCTTCTTTCAGCTCCCTTGCTTCAGCTCCCTCCCTGTCACCAGTTTTGTTCAATGTCAGCAATCAACTTGCCTTACTCCACGTGTGTGTCGCGCCGAAGCAGCAACAGTCTCTCATTTTTAGCTTCACCACGCTTCACCAGCAATCATCTTGCCTTACTAGTAGTACCGAATCTTTCATATAGTGCTTCGTTCTTCTTCGTACTGTCTCACCGAGAGCGTTTCCGCCCACTCTTGTTTCTCCGTCCCTCTGCCACATTTTTGTTAGTCACGGGGGTTGAAGTGACTCTGTTGTTTTTTGTTAGTCACCCAGCAGCACCCTCCACACCTTCGTATCTTGCCTGCAATGCGATCTGCAACGTCGCAGGATTCAATTTCCTCCTTCTCCCGTCCTCTCCGTCTCGCCTCGCTCTCTCCTCTTGCAGGGACGGCACCAGCGGCACGACGACGTTCGTGTTCGACCAGCCGTCCGTGTTCATCCGGCCCAACCAGCCCAGCGACCTATGCGACATCATGGGGCTCTTCATATGCAGCGAGGAGAGCGACCTGTGGGTAAATACCTATTTTGTTTACCCTTCATCCATTATAGATCCCCTCAGTGTCATCTTAGACGCCCTTTGGTTGAGTCAGCTGAAATTCCTTCACTTAATTTATTTTTTAACGATTCGTGTCCGGATGGCCCCTAGATGTGAAGTGCGTTGCCCCTCTCTCTCATCCCAAAGCATGCATCAGTCTCTGCAGGAAAGCATCAGAGCAGGAAGGGCAACCAAGTGGCAGATGCTACAGTGGTGGACCTAGGGGATGATGCATCTACCGTAACTTCGACGATGATGGATAGACTGAGTAGATTAGTGGAAATTGTATTATACGGTAGTGGATGTATCCTGCCCTTTCGACTGCATAAACCAAAATCAACATTTAGCTGTAAACACAATCAGACTTGCTACTGGTGTTAATTCTGATTGATCATCCTTTTTTTTTTCAGAGACTCTGAAATTTCAGACTTTTTTTTGTACCACGTCTGATTGATCAGACAAAAACTTTGTACTAAGTCTGACAAATCAGACAGCTCAAAAACGAATCTGAGGGCCTGACTGGAAGCGACCCCGCTTGCGGATTTTTTTTCTTTTGGTACCGTTGATTGCTGGCAATCTGAATTTCGATTGGATTCCACAACGGTTCTTACTATATGTGCTCACTTGATCCGATTTGCCATAATCAATTTCATATGCTGTAACACACGCTTTGTTCCAGGGAAATCAAAGCCAATAAAACATTAAACTTGTATAACATATTCAAATCACATTCATGGTCATCACCTAGGCCCACTAGTCCCGAAAGTAAGGCGTATATCTTTAAAACCGGAGTCACAAGTTCCCCAAAGTCGCCTCAACCTTCCTACCTTTGGTTGGGTTCCCAGGTCCAACCAAGCTTCCTACCTTTGGTTGGGGCAACAGGTCCAACCAACCTTCCTACCCTTGAAACCTGTGGACCTCGGGTTTTAAATATACATACACACATGCACACACTCCACATACATTCATTGAAAAGGAACCTTAACCACTCTAATTTCTGCCAAATAAGAAAGCCAAAATGATTATGATCTTGACATGTCTTACGAATAGTAAATTGAGAAGCTGCACTGTCCATTCCTACCTGTAATAAGAACGGAGAACACAGAAGAGGGTACGGAGGCGAAAGGTCGAAGCGATGCGAACAGTTGGAAAGCATCTGAATCGTCGAAGCACACAACATCGGGCAGCTGCAGGGGCGAGGAAAAAGGCGGAAACAGATTCGTAACTGTACGCGCCGTACGGTTGGGTTTGAATTTGAATAAGGGAATGTGCCCCTTAGAGTACATGACTAGCTAGGACGTTTGGTATTCCCTGTTTTAAATGCTTCTTATGTGTCGTAACACCGAACTACAAACGAGGCGAACTACAGAGGAACACCAGCGGGTCAACCATCGGAGGTTGACAATGGAAGTAACCGCTGGAGGTTACGCGAAGGTCAAAGGTCAGCGACCTTTGACTTGACAAATACAGCGCGACAGCAAGGACAAACATCTGACTCGATACTGAGCAGTTGCCCGAGTCGTCACTGTATCGAACCGCAACAGCAACAGTAAAACAGTTACCGTATTAGTTGCACCCTTTCATATTTCTTGTGATCTTATAAAAGGCTTGTATCACTTTTCTATAATCAATCTATCTTGCCCTCACATACCAGCGCAAGGTGGTTCAACACTTGTCATTAAAACGCTTCCGCAACTACAACACTACTACTCAGAGTTTAGCCTTGGAAAGATCCTAAGGGCTTTTCTCACCCCAACAAGTATGAGCTTAGGGCGTGTTCCTACAGCCCCTTATCAGGCGACCTCTTGTCAAACTTGTGCGGTTCAATGCGATTCAATGCGATCGAATTCTATTATGCGCGTTTCAGTGCGGTGCGACGCGAATCTGACAAGAGGTTCGCCTGATAAGAGGCCGCAGGAACACGCCCTTAGTTCCAGTGACCACGATCCTACAAACGCTTCCGCAAAGCTATTCATTTCAAGTACAACATCCCTATTTCCAACATGTCGAGATAGTAGCTAGAGATACTTAGGGCGGGTCCAACTTTGCACATGTACAATAATTTTTCAGCTCATTTACCACATTTCGGCATGTAACAGAACTACAAACGTAGCAGAATCCATTTGACGGGAGACTGTACATATATGATGACACTTCGAAAACGTGCCCGGGGACGTGCAGAACACGTCCGAAGGTTCACGTCAAACTCGTTTCGCGTCAAACACGACAGAAGGTAACACCCTTGTTTCGCTAATTTGTTTTCGCCAATGAATCCCTCCTCTGTCACAGGTGCGAAAAACCTCGCTTTATTGGGTAACCCCTCATTCCAGGTACTGTACCCCGCAGCGTTACTGTACCTTGTCAAAAGTCCGAATTGTGCACTCGGAACTGGACAGGAAATGTTTGGAGTTCGCACTGGGGTACAGTCAAGTTTGACTAGTGCATGACGTAAAAATAACGAAAAAAACGGGAGTGTGCAAAGTTGGACCCGCCCTTAGGAGCCAAGGTAGGAATCATGGCTTCGAGTGACGTGATAAGCGTGTGAGGGATTAGAGAGGTGTCACTAACAACTATAGTACAAGGTATAGGTGCAAGGGACGGTGGAAAAGGGGGTACACCACCAACAAAGAAACTAAATGATACTACACTTCTATTCTAGCATGAATATAATCTCAACAGGCTTTTGCACTCCGGTAAGGTGATACGGCGTCTGAGATAACTACCTGCACTCCGGTATAGTATAAAACAAACGGCTAAACCACATGGATATATATTCATATATTTCCCAGCATCATACAATGATGCATGCAGGCAATAAAAGCATCCAGCAGAATGGCTGCATGCATGCGAAGCTAAATCCTGCTCATGCACAAGCATTCAGCTCATGTGTAAAGCCTCTTGTTATATACATTCTGACACTTCGACCCTTCAAGAGAGGGTCTACATTTGTCTATCTGTAGGTGGGCTGCTCGGAATTGCTAACCACACAGCAGGCGTGGCGAGCGAATGCACCTACAATCAAATCAAAAACTTTCAAACCCCTGCACACTACTAATGCGCTCTTCAAGTAACTTAAAGCTCAAGACCTGGGTCGTGACGGGCTGAGGCTCAGCGCGAGCCTTAAAGATTGTACCATATTGGAGGTATGGGCCTGGATGAACTCAGGTAAGAAGTATCACATATGCGGCTACCCCAGAAGCACCGCCACAAAGCCCGAAGCTGCTTCTCCAGCTCCAGCTTGCACTCGCGCATTCCCTCAATGAACCCCATCGCAGAATCCAGAAGAGGTTGGCTCTCTGCATGCGACTGGCCCAGCGCAGCTGAAGCCCGCTTCAACCGTCCTGCCTCTTCGGACTTGGTCCTTGAGAATCCGAGGCAGTTTGCTCAGACCAGAAGCAATGTCATGAGGTCAGCAGCTGCCTCTCCAGCTCCAGCCCGTATTTGCAACTTCCCTCAATGGACCCCACAGCAGCATCCAGCAGAGTGGCTATCTGTGTGCGATTGGCTGCTGCTGCCGCAGAATCGTGGAATCTTCATGCGTAACCATTGCAGATTATGAGATGCACTGTTACGACGCCCGCAGTTGTCGCTCCAGCTCCAGCTTGTACTCGCGCATGCCCTCAATGAACCCCACGGCAGCATCTAAAAGAGTGGCCATCTGTGTGCGATTGCTGAACCCCGCCCGGCCCTGCTGCCTCAGCAGCACCTCCGCTGGAATCGCTGCCTTGAGGGCCTCCAATCTCTCACTGCGAGACACACATGAGAAGAGGAAGCAGGAGGGAGGGAAGGAAGGAGACACAGGATGGATGAGGCTGCGAAGTGTGCAGTGCACAGAGCAATTGCTTCCGACAAACAACATGTAAGGGATGCACCTGCACACCAGACCGAATAATCACCCAACTCACGTTATTCTGGACCGCCGCTGCTTCTCTGTGGCACTCTTTGCAGTGATTTGCCTCGCCCCTGTCCCTGCGCGTCCCACCCCTCCCCTCGGGGACTGGGACAACGGGGACGGGGTTGCAGAGGGAGACTTAAAGCCCATGCTTCCTCCTGGGGTTGCAGAGGGAGACTTAAAGCCCATGCTTCCTCCTGGGGTTGCAGAGGGCGACTTAAAGCCCATGATTCCTCCTAAGGTTGACTCCCGGACTGACGTAGAGCCACGCACTGCTGCTGCCTGCACTTGTGGCGAGTGCGGTGTGAAGGGGTGCTGTGCATGCGGCTGCGGTACCGAGGTGTTTGGAGAGAAGGATTCGTGCGCATGTGCTTGGGAGAAATCTGGTTGCACTGCTGGCTGCACTAGCGGAATTGGTTTCGGAGAATGCAGCAATGGTGACTGACTTTGAGACGGTTCAAAACGCAGCTCTGGTGACACTGAGCGATGCAGTGCGGTGCTGCCAGGTGCTTGTCCTTGGAGTCGCCTCAACAGGCAGCTAATAGCTGCCTGCCTCCGCTGGTGCGCAAGGGACGAGACTGGCATGGCAGGAGCAGCTGGAGCAGCAGCAGCAGCAGCAGCAGCAGCAGCAACAGCACCAGCAGCAGCACGGCCAGCAGCAGCAGCAGCAGCAGCAGCAGCAGCAGCAGCAGCAGCAGCAGCAGCAGCAGCAGCAGCAGCAGCAGCAGCAGCAGCACCACCACCACCACCACCACCAACACCACCATCCATAGCAGCAGCGGCCGGGGAAAAAGCGTCCATGCACCCGTCAAGCCCCACCCCACGCGCCATTTCAAAGGGATGTGGTGGAAGAGGCTTCACGAGAGCATCAGCAAGCCGGTCCAATGGGTGCTGTGGCAGGCACACGCCAGCACGTGGGGGACACACGCCAGAGTGCGTGGGACCCAGGCCAGAGTGTGTGGGACTCACGCCTGGACGTGTGAGGCACACGCCAGAGTCTCTTGGGCACGTGGTTGCAGCAGCAGCAGTCGCAGGAAAAGTCTCAGCAGCAGTTGCAGGAAAAGTCGCAGCAGCACTTGCAGCAGCAGTCCAGAAGGAAGGAACTGGAGCAGGTGTGATGCTTGGTGCCACGTGTGTTGCAGGGGTGGGAGCGGCCATAGCAGGAAGGGCTGCTGCTGCATTCCATTCCGCATTGTGCTTGGCGATACTGCCCCGCCTTCTCTCGTCGGAAGCGAGGCTGCTGCTACCGCTGCTCCGAGAGAAGACACCAGCAGCAACGCACCGTTCAATGGCAACAGCAGTCGCAACAGCAGCAGGTGCGGCAAGAGGGAGACCCGTTTCGTCAAGATCAACAGGGTTACCATGTAACCGCTTCCTCGCATGAAAAGCGTCCATTTCAGAGAGTTCATAGATCTGAGAGGCTAAAAGCCTTCGTTTTGTGCCAAACGTTGGTACCAAACTTGGAAATCTGTGGGCTCCAAAGGTTGATGAGCGTTTGAGGGCTAGGGGAGGTGGAGGAGGAGAGGTGTTGAGCTCTGAAGACGGCTGAGGTGGCAGCTGCTGATTTGGCGGCAGATGCTGGGTCAGCAGCGGAGCAGGAAGCACGGGAAAGGAACGATGAGCCTCATTCCAAGTCTGAGTCAGCAGGGGGTTGGGAGGGAATAGATTCCCCATAGCCCCACTTCCATCCTGCCTCATAAGCTCTGATGCGGGTGTTACTACTCCATCCGTACTCTCTCCCTCCCCTTCCATTGGCATCATCCCTGCGCGCTCCGCGCTTGAAGCTGGATCGAACTCACACACTTCTTGCTTCTCGGGGATTAAAGCAGGCTCGGAGTTTTCCAGTCCGGGCTGCTCGGCGCGCTGCAGCGCTTCTTGGATCAGGCGGAGCTCCTCCCTGCCGATGCTGCTCCAATCCGCCGCCGGCACAGCTGGAAGCTCCCCCGTTTGGAGTGCGTCGAAGCATGGTGGTTCTCCCGTTAGAGTCGCGTCGAGACACGGTTCCCCCGTTAAAGTCGCGTCCAAGAATTCCATTATGAGGAAAAAAGTCACACCCAGTTAACACGGACTGAAAGAGCACGGCGCACTCTCCGGACGGAGTCAAATTTTCAGAAGCGTCGAAACGAAGAACAGAAAAGCAGCACTGGAAGCGGAGATGAACTAAAAGAGGAAATCTGTTCCAAAAGTTTATGCATCAGCCTGTTTACTACCACGTGGAATGGTACGATAATCAATTTGGAGAAGCTTACCAAGCGAGGAATCCCTGCGGCTCTTGCACTCACTAGTAGTGGTACTAACTGCATCATGATGACGTAAGGAAGAGTGCGTTGGAGGGGGAGGAGGAGAAGCAGTCTCGCGACTCGACGTGGGGTCAGATGGCCTTTAGAAACTTACAAATGCGCAACTTGCGTAACGAGTGCGCGTGTGTGGCGGCATCGCTAACGCCTGAACGGAAACTTGGCCAGCTAGCCGCCAAAGCTGGGTGCCAATTGAACCAATCACGCTGCAGAGAACCGTAAAAAAGGTCCCAATGGTGTCGATTCTCAATCTGGTTTTGCGGCGTACAGGCGGCGGTATCGCAGGCATCATTCACGCCGCATGCTAGGTTCCGTGATGTAGTAATGATAGGAATACCATAGATATGATGTTTGTACACTGTGAAGCCCTGCTGGAGTGGTCACCCCAGCACAGCATGCTGAGCTGACCTAATCCGCGACTGTGAGCAAACCCACGCCAGATCATACGGGATGTTGTGGGAACATGCACTTGAGATGCCGTGGATACGCCACTATGTACCACCGTACGTACTACGAATTGGAAAAAAAATGTCCGTTCCGTTCAAAGACAGAGACGGAGGCGGAGGAGGACCAAAAAATTAAAAAAAGGCGTGTGGTACTGTACCGAGACCCGAGTCACCGAGGGTTCTCGAGAAGGACCCTTCTCTTCTTTCGCACATATGTATGTGTAGTGATTAGTGATCATTCAGGAAATACCAGCCTTCGGAATAATCACTCACTACGCACACCCCACCTGCGCCTCACGCACACTCTTCGCAACACACCACTGTAGTACTGTACTGTAATGGCGCGTCGATCAAGGAAGGAGTGAGGCGAGCGTATCTGCGAAGAGATGCGATGCGATGCGAACGAAGGCTGAGTGGCTAAACATCGTCAGTTGACCCTTGGAAAATCGAAAGTGAACTGTCTCAAGACCGTCCTTTCAGAGAGGCTCGACACTACGACTCCCTTAGCTGACTGGGCAAACGTGATGTTGGACGAAATCGGCGGCGCTCCTTGTTCAGATCGCCGCCGTAACGAGAACCGTGTACACGCCTAGGCAATGCGAACATTGGGATAACTTGTCACGTCCGACACCATCGCCTGCCAGCATGTCACAGACTGGCGGAAAGCTCTTGGAAATAGACATCGCCACGCAAAACAATGGATCCCCATGGCCCGTGCACACGTTTACGACCAGACTGGACGGGTGAATTCCAGATTGGAGATTTGAGAGAGAGCCAACAAGAGAGCCAGAACACACGAGATTGATCAAGCAATCACGTTTAGGAGAGCACGAAGACATGATTGAGAAAAGCGTAGGGGGATAGGAGCAACTGCAGTGCAATACATCAAGATTGATTGCCAAAACTAAAACCGATCACAGCACAGACATAGAGGTGATTTTGGCCAGATAGGTAGGCGTGGAAGGGGAGGCGTTTGCAGGGTGGTGTGCCTCAAATTGAAGGTGAAGAAGCGTTTACCCAATCGAAAAAATAAAACAAAAAGAATTTCGCGAAGTTAGTGTGGAAGAATGATCAACCACTGGAGTGCGTATCGGATCCTCGAAATATTGTTTTGCGGAAATTGTCCATGAAACTGCCCAAGCAACGGTGGAGCGCAAAGGACCAGCCTACCCCAGATCGTTGGCCCTGCTAAAGCTTGATAAGATTTGCAACGGTACTTTCTCCAGCTGTCCAATCACGCGAAGTGATTCGCCAAATATCACAGACAAATCCTCGTTACAGAATGACTCGAGTGCTTTCTATGACAAACATAGAATGGTCTGTTTACATATACATCACCGTGCTTTAACATGTAGGTATGGCATGGCAAATAGATGCTGGCCTTGTAAACACGAGAGTGATGCTTAAGAGGGGGTTTCTTGCAACTTGAATATGAACTTCAATTTTTATTGCAGCACCGTTGATTCTTCTGTTCTCCACCCTAAAAAACAAGCACAAACAAACTCTTCATTCATGCGGCAACGGAACAAGAGCGCTGGACTGAAACTAAGAATAATACTAGGAAAAAACAACAGAGAGACATACCGATGGAGATTCGGCATGAAATACAGGACTGTGATCAGATGCTGGCACACTCTTTCTCTTGCCACGACCTTTCACTTTCAGTTGTTGCTGTAAGTGCTCCACCTGAGTTGACCACCCACACAAAAAAGGCGCTGACAAATGGTGCATTCTTGTAACGCAAGATGATGCACAACTCAATGCCTCAATCTGCTACAGGCCAATCCGGCACGCAAGAAGAATGTAAAAAAGAAGAAGACAATGTCGAGGGCCACAAAAAAGCAAGTACAATTCCATCTGGTCATTTACACTGTCACCTGTTCAGGCACAGTATCATCATATGTATTCATTTGGCAGATGTACTACTTACCTGGTCAGCTGTGGGATTGATGGGAGTGACATCAGAGCTTCCATTGTAATCCTTCCCACACACAGGACACTGCCTCACCTTCAACTGATGTGAATTCATTGAGAGAGGGAGAACGAGAACGGAAGAATGGGGGTGAGAGTGAGCAAGATAGGGAGGAGGAAACTCCACGTAACCACGACATCTGATATTTATACAATGGAGTATGATGCATTGGCCTGAGCTATCTCACTAAAGCTCATGACAAAAAACACCTGAGCCATCACCCCGAAAATCACCTGAATGATGATAAGTATGTGTACAACACCCGTGCTGGCAAGCCAGGAACAATTGGCAATAAACTGAAACCCCACCTGAACCAGTGCTCGTGACACGTGGCAACAACTGAGGTAGCCAATAAAACCCCACCAGAGCCAGTGCTCCTGACACGTGGCAACAACTGAGGCAGGCAAGGGAACCCCACCTGAGCAAGTGCTCGCGTGCTGAAGGCATGTCCGCAGGGGCGGAGGAGAGAGAAGCTGTGCACAACCGGACGGGGGATGGGGGAGACGAGGGATGAGAGGGAGGGTGGGACGGGAGATGGGAGGGAAGCAGCATGGGAAGGAAATGGGACGGGAGGGGGATAAGACAGGCGGCGCAGACTCATTGGCACCATCATCAAAGGAATGATATAGAAAAGGCAAAAAACATGCAGTAACTGCCCCTTGTGCCCCACTGCCTCTTGTGCCCCACTGCCCCTTGTGCCCCCCTGCCCCTTGTGCCCCACTGCCCCTTGCGCCCCCCTGCCCCTTGCGCCCCACTGCCCCCTGTGCTTTTCTTTTCTTATGTGCCATTGCCAGCAGAGGCGCCTGAAAGCAGGCAAACCCAGTGTGACGGGTCCCTGCTGCTGCTGCGGCTGTGAGGCATGCAAACCCACGTGCCCCCCTTCCCCCTTGTGCCTTATTTCCCCATGTAACCTACTCACGGCTGGCCATTGCTGGCTGACGCGCCTGAAAGCGCGCAAACCCAGTGCGAGGCGTCCCTGCTGCCGCTGCTGCTGCTGCCCGCACTGCCGCTGCCTCTGGCTGCGCTGCTGCCACCGCCTCTGCTACTGCTAGGGGCAGTAGGAGATGCATTCAATGCGTCAGCAGCAGCAGCAGCAGCAGCAGCAGCACCAGCAGAACCAACAGGACCAGCAGCACCACCAGCAGGGTTGGTATCGGCACCACACCTGCTGCTATCATCATTGGTCCCATTCTCACCCTCATCGCTGTTACCCCCGCCATTGTCCCTCCGGCCGCTGTCACCCCGGCTGCTGTGGGCTGGATGGTCGACTGAGGGGAAGCGCACTGTGACAATGTCCTGATGGGAGTGGCGAGGGAGAGGGGGAGAGGGGGGGAGGGGAGGTGCACAGTATGCAAGGGGGGGACTTCCCGATGGAAGTGGCGAGGGGGACGGGTAGGGGGAGGGGGAGGGGGAGGGGGAGGGGGAGGGGGAAACTATAGAGTCGACTCAAAGGTTATTTTGTTACAGTAGTTTATAGTCCTGTCACGACTCAGTCGGCTGCTGTGGGCTGGATGGTCGACTGAGGGGGAAGCGCACTGTGACAATGTCCTGATGGGAGTGGCGAGGGAGAGGGGGAGAGGGGGAGAGGGGGAGAGGGGGAGAGGGGGAGAGGGGGGGAGGGGGGGAGGGGGGGAGGGGAGGTGCACAGTATGCAAAGACGTCCCAATGGATGGAAGTGGCGAGGGGGAGGGGGAGGGGGAGGGGGACACTATTGAGTCGACTCAAAGGTCATTTCGTTACAATGGCACACGACACACTGCTGTGGGCTGGATGGTCGACTGAGGGGAAACACACTGTGGCAATATCCTGAGGGGAGTGACGAGGGGGACGGATGGGTAGGCTCAAGAAGGTGGCGAGCAGTCAATGCTTCCAATGCTCTCTTGTTGCTCTCTCTCGCTCATTCAACCGCTCCCCCCCTCTCCCGCTCCTCCGTCCCCGCTGCTCCCCTGCTCCCCGCTTCCCCTGCTCCCCTGCTCTCACCTTGGTGGATCGGATGTGTGCAAAGCGGTGCAGTTGGTCCTGCAGCCGGGTGAACCGCCACTGTGGGGTTGGGATTGCACATGGAGACGGGCAATAGGGGGGTAGAGAGAAAGAAAGGTGGGTGGAGAGGAAGAAAGGTGGGTGGAGAGGAAGAAAGGTGGGTGGAGAGGAAGAAAGGTGGGTGGAGAGGAAGAAAGGTGGGTGGAGAGGGGGGATGCGAAGGGGTTCAGTTGGTCCTGCAACCTGGTGAAGCGCCGCTGGGGGGGGGTGCGGGCGAACGGGGGGGAGAGGATTGGAGGATGGGACTTGGAGATGCGGATGTGTTTTGAGACACCTCAAAACACATCTTCATCCATGGGACTTGGACATGCGGATGAGACGCAGAGCAGCACGGGAGAGAGGGTGGAGAGGGACCAGAATGGTTGGGGGGTCAGTGAGAAGGGACGGACAGCACAGCTGCACCGGACCATACTGCACCGCACCGCACCGCACCGCACAGCAGAGCGGAGCAGGGTGAGCTGTGTCTCTGTGTCTCACCTTGTGGCTCTCCTCTGCAACAACCCCCGCTCGCCACAGCAGCAGCTGTAGCACGCTCTCCCGGTTGTAGCTGAATAGAGGGGAGGGGGAGAAAGCAGGAAGAATAAGACAGGGAAGAGTTACCCGTCTTAGCTGTAGCACGCTCTCCCGGTTGTAGCTGGAAAGAGGGAAGCGGGGGATAGGGGGAAACAGGGGGGTATACATATACTGGAATTGTAACTTGTAACTGGAGAGATGGAGGGCACAGAAGGGGGGTGTGGACGGCAGAAGAGACAACCGAAGGAGACACAGGAAGCCGAACCTTCACTCGCCCTCTCGCCCTTTCGTTTCCCTTCTAATCCTCCTCTGCCCCTCATCCCCCTCCCTCTCGTCCTCCCCTCCCTTCCCCGCCACCGCCCTTTATTCCCCTCTTCCCCCTTTCCCACCCTCCCACCCCTTTCCTCCCCCTCTTCCCCTCTTCCCCCCCCGCCTCACAGTCGTCCGAGCTGGCACACCACGATTGGCTCTCGCAGCGCCTCCCCCGTCAGCGCGCATGCGCTCCACGCGGCGTCGCGCTGCTCCCGCGCGCCCACGCGCTCCTCTCCGCCCAGCAGGTCCCCCGCGGACAGCTGCCCCCCGCGCGTCGACCGCGCGGAGTCCCTGCTTTGCGGTCGCGCGGAGTGATTGGGGAAGGGGGAGCGCAGAGCGCGGGAGAAGCGCAAGTCAGGGGGATAGATGAGGGGAGGGGAAGAAACGGCGGAGCCAAAGGGGGAGTTTGGAACGGGAACAAATTGGAGAGGGACAGTACAAAAGGTATAGTCTGTCGGTAACGATGACGGTAACGGTAACGGCAACGGCAGCGGTAACTGACAGCAACGGTATCGGCGACAGTAACGGTAGTGGTAACGGTAACAGTGACGGTAACGCTGGCGATAGCGACCTGGAGGCGAGGCGCCACGACGCTCCTCGGATAACGTCGGTGCGCGATATGATGGTTCCACCGTCCAGACCCATGGCGCTGTAGTAGGCGCAGTGCGGTTCTTACAATGCCTTATGAACGCCGGTTAGTGCGAAACGTCGCCAAAGTTAAAGCTCGCGTCTCATATTTCTGCCATCCAACCAAGTGTTAAACGGTTGGAATCCGGTAACAGCAGAGTTTGTCGCGAAGCACACCAAAGCAAGGGGTGGTTGGGAAAGTTGGCTGTCGCACACTTCCCCGTGCACACCAAGTGTTTACAACTCCCAAAAATATGAGACTCTGAACTGAACGTTGACAGAACCCAGGACCAAACCTGTCACCCTTGCCTCGGTTTCCCCCCAAACCAACCCACCCTGGTTTGTTTTGGCCTCGATCTTTTGGAGTTCGCTGTGTTTTTTTCGCCCACTCGTCAAATATTTCGACTTTCGTTACCCAATCAAACCCTGGCAAACCCAACCAAGTGTTAAACGGTTGGAAATTAGAGACGCGTACGCGTGGAACGCGTAATGGTCGAATCGGAACGAAGTGCGCAAGGGCGGTACGGCGGTCGAAGAAAATCGCGTTTCAAGCCAGAGTTCGAAAGCCTGTAGCGCAGCGTTTATAACGCGTCACAAATATTATCTAAGAAATATGAATATAAAACATCTAGCTCTCATATATCCCTTTCATACTTCCAAATACTGCACCCCCCGTGCACTCGGCCTCAAGCCTTCTTCACCGTTGGATTAGAATATGGCGCGGATCTATCTGCGGCAGGGGCCGTTCCCTTCATCATTCTCCTTTCCATAACCACCAATCGCCGCCACTCGCTCGCTTTCACCTGTGAAGAAAAAAGACAAAATCGTGGCAGTACGAGGGGGAAAGAGATAAAAGGCCACACTGATTAAAAGCCGCATCTGCACTCTTTACCATTCACCTACAGCACTGTCTTGAATGCTGACGTAAACACGGGTCCCAAAAAAGTTGCTGATGCTTAAAAAAATACAGGACGTGCAATAGAGGGCGTGATGCAATGTGCATTTTGAGTTGCCTAGAGGCAGCGAGATGGTGCAGTTGGGTTGGGTGGTGTGCGGGGAGTGGTGAGTCAGGGAGGGAGTTTGGTGTGAAGGGGACTGTAAAGTCAATGAGGTTGGGGGCAGGAGGGAAGAGGGGGGTGGGGGGAAGGGTGGTTGGTGTGAAGGTAACTACTCAGTCAGTGGAAGGGGGATTTCTGTGAAGGCGACTAGTAATCCAGGGAAGGGGTGGGTGTGAAGGTGTACGTTGCAGTGTGCACAAGGATTGAAGGGACACGAGGGAGGGAGGGAGGGAGGCAGGGAAATGGGGAGGGAGGGAAAGGAGGAAGGAGAAGAAAAAGAGAAGGAAGAGTGGGAGGGAGATCAGGGACGGATGAGGGAGTGGAGGATGGAGTGGGGGATGGGTGGGTGGGCGGGTGGGTGGGTGGGGGGGTGGGTGGGTGGGTGGGTGGGTGGGTGGATGGGTGGGTGGGTGGGTGGGTGGGTGGGTGGGTGGGTGGGTGGGTGGGTGGGTGGGTGGGTGGGTGGGTGGGTGGGTGGGTGGGTGGGTGGGTGGGTGGGTGGGTGGGTGGGTGGGTGGGTGGGTGGGTGGGTGGGTGGGTGGGTGGGTGGGTGGGTAGGTGGGGAGGTTATACCGTTGGGAAGCCGGCATAGTCCCCAGGCTCCTTGATATCCGATGCCACTCCTGACTTGGCTGCCACGCGCACCTGTGGGGCCCAGGGGTGCACACAATGCACACGCAACGCAATGGCACATGTGATGGGCAGATGAGAGTACCGTGGGGAAGCCAGCATACTCCCCTGGCTCCTTGATATCCGATGCCACTCCTGACTTGGCTGCCACGCGCACCTGTGGGGCCCAGGGGTGCACACAATGCACACGCAACGCAATGGCACATGTGATGGGCAGATGAGAGTACCGTGGGGAAGCCAGCATACTCCCCTGGCTCCTTGATATCCGATGCCACTCCTGACTTGGCTGCCACGCGCACCTGTGGGGCCCAGCCAGGGGGGCAAGGATGCACACGCAGTGGCACATACATGCAGGGAGACATGCAGGGAGACATGCAGGGAGACATGCAGGGAGACATGCAGGGAGGCATGCAGGGAGACATGCAGGGAGACATGCAGGGAGACATGCAGGGAGACATGCAGGGAGGCATGCAGGGAGACATGCAGGGAGACATGCAGGGAGACATGCAGGGAGACATGCAGGGAGGCATGCAGGGAGACATGCAGGGAGACATGCAGGGAGACATGCAGGGAGACATGCAGGGAGACATGCAGGGAGACATGCAGGGAGACACGCAGGGAGACACGCAGGGAGACATGCAGGGAGACATGCAGGGAGACATGCAGGGAGACATGCAGGGAGACATGCAGGGAGGCATGCAGGGAGGCATGCAGGGAGACATGCAGGGAGACATGCAGGGAGACATGCAGGGAGACATGCAGGGAGACACGCAGGGAGACATGCAGGGAGACATGCAGGGAGACATGCAGGGAGACATGCAGGGAGACACGCAGGGAGACATGCAGGGAGGCATGCAGGGAGACATGCAGGGAGACATGCAGGGAGACATGCAGGGAGACATGCAGGGAGGCATGCAGGGAGACATGCAGGGAGACATGCAGGGAGACATGCAGGGAGACATGCAGGGAGACATGCAGGTAGACATGCAGGGAGACATGCAGGGAGACATGCAGGGAGACATGCAGGGAGACATGCAGGGAGACATGCAGGGAGACATGCAGGGAGACATGCAGGGAGACATGCAGGGAGGCATGCAGGGAGACATGCAGGGAGACATACAGGGAGACATGCAGGGAGACATGCAGGGAGACATGCAGGTAGACATGCAGGGAGACATGCAGGGAGACATGCAGGGAGACATGCAGGTAGACATGCAGGGAGACATGCAGGGAGACATGCAGGGAGACATGCAGGGAGACATGCAGGGAGACATGCAGGGAGACAGAAATGGCTGACTACAGGTAAGAACTCATGGACTAGGTGGTAATGGGCTGGTTATCACTCATGAAACTACAGTGGCATTTTGAAAAAGGGAGTGGTGCGGGGTGGTGGTGAGGGGTGGTGAGAGGTGCTGAGCGGTGGTGAGGGGCATACCTTATCTGCTATGGTGACATGATCAGCCACGCCCACTTGCCCTGCCAGCACCACATAGTCGCCCAGACTGCCATGCATGGGAACGCAGACATTATCAAGGATGCTAATGTGGACAAAGACAGATGGGGCAAAGGGATGATGCACGGCAGGAAATGCTGTAGAGGAAGCAACATGGGCAGCTGCAACTCATTGACTCGTGGTTCGAAGGGCTGCAATACGTGAAGATGACGTTTTAGCAACAGGATCGACAGCAAAAAACGGAGTGAAATTCGCAGATCAACCCTTTGTCTCCGAAAAAGCCTCCTTGCCGAGATGATGCATGGCAAGAAATGCTGGAGAGGAAGCAACACTGGCAGCTGGAACTCACGTGGAGGAGCCGCCAATGCCAGTTTGACCACAGATGATGCAGCAGCGACCGATGACCACATTGTGCCCAATCTGCTTGGGTTCAGCCAATGGAGAATAGCCAGAGCAGGATATATGCGAGTGGTGCTGGTGGGTGCGTTGTGGTATGGTATGGTATGGTATGGTATGGTATGGTATGGTATGGGCTGAAACGGATGCAAAGCAGTCACACACATGGTCACACCATCGCAATCGCACAAGAGGGGTCGTGCAAAGAGGGGCACATGGCAAACGCGTTTATGCCAACCTAGCACGGACCTGCACAAGGTTATCGATCTTCACGAAATCACCAATCTGTGTGTCTCTCCAGCTGGAAGAAAAGTAAGGAGGTATATGAAGTAGGTAGGGGCAGGGAGAAAAGCAGGGAGGAGCGGATAAGAAGCAGTGTACTCATGCACGAGCAGATGCGACACCATTGAGAGAATGAGAGATAAAGCTGTGTAGAGAGAAGGCAAACGGATGGGAGTTAGCTCACCTGCCCCTGTCCACGCATGTGTTTGCCCCCATCTCCACATCGCTGCCTATCTGCAGCCCAGCGTCTGCCCTCGACTTTTGAGGTGCCTTATAAACCACACTCACCTGCCCTTATAAGCAACACGCACCTGCCCCTCTCCACGCATGTGTTTGCCCCCATCTCCACATCGCTGCCTATCTGCACCCCTAGCGTCTGTCCTCGCTCATAAAACCATCAACACACAGCCATGCAGTGCTGAAAAAAAAAAAACCTCCCCTGTAAGCCGCACTCACCTGCCCCTGTCCACGCATGTGTTTGCGCCCATCTCCACATCATTGCCTATCTGCACCCCCAGCGTCTGCCCTCGACTTTTGAGGCACCTCATACCATAAGCTACACTCACCCCCCCCTGTCAGGCTGTCAGCCACACTCACCTGCCCCTGTCAACACATGTGTTTGCGCCCATCTCCACATCACTGCCTATCTGCACCCCCAGCGTCTGCCCTCGCCCATACAGCCATCACCCCACAGCCATTCACACATAATGTCATTGACACACAAAGCCATGCCAAAACGCAGAGACACAGAAAAGGGACAGAAAGACAGGGCAAAAGAGAGGCTGTTTCATTGTGGTTCTCCTTCCTCTCCGAAAAAGAGACAGCGCGCACGGAGAGAAAGTTGGGACGAAGACAGGAGGACAAGGAGGAGAAGTCTGGGAGAGGAGTGCAGTGAGAGAAGTCTGGGAGAGGAGTGCAGTGAGAGAAGTCTGGGAGAGGAGTGCAGTGAGGCTCACTTGTGGCTTCTTGACCATGCTGCCAGATTCGTCCACGAAGAAACCAAACCCTGCAGTGCATGAAATATGTAGGGACACATGTAAGAGGTCTTTACCATGTGCCATTGCACAAGGGGGGAGGAGCAGGGATATGGCACACACGGCTATCAATCTCACCAACCTGTCCTGTCTGTCGCTCTCCCATTTGACCTATCTGTTCCTCCCTATTCTGTTCTACGTGAACAACGCATACTGCCCCTGCAAATATTTCCATCCAGCCCTCCCTGCCCACAAATATCACCATGCCGCTATACCTGCCCGCGACTCTAATCATCCCGCCCTACCTGCCCGTATATCTCACCATCCTGGCCAATCTGCACGCCATTGTGGAGGACGCAGCGATCCCCAATCGTGCAATTCGTGAGCGACACGTTGTACCTTGCATGGGGTGGAGGAGGGTCACAGGAGGAGACGAAAGGCGAGAGAGGGAGGGGGTGGAGGAGAGAGAAGGTGGGGGGGGGGGGGGGGGGAGGTGGCGGGGGGAGAGATTTTTCAGAAGGTGACTCTAAAACAGTTGTACCTTGGGTGGGTTGGAGGTGGGTCACAGGGGGAGACGAAAAGCGAGAGACGGAGGAGGGGAGGGTACGGGAGGAGGGAGAGGGGCCCGGGAGAATGGGGTAAGTGAAGAGGGCAAGGAGTGGAGGTGGAGAGTCGTCATCAGTCAAGTAACTACACAGTGCTACTGGAGCAATTCCGCAGTGAAACATTGTAACTTGCAGGGCGGATGAAGGATAAAAGGGGAGGGTGGAAAAGACAGGAAGGGGTGGGAGAAATTGCGAGAGGCAATTGAACTAGAAAAGCAATGGCTACAAAATTATTAGAACAACTCACCACACGGTAGTCTCCGCGCCTATTTTCACGTACGGCCCCACCACCGACCCTGATCCGATCCTTGTTTTCGCGCCAATCCGAGCCTCCGCATGGACCACAGCGGACGGTTCGATCACTGCTGAGCTGTCAACCACCGCCTCCACGTGGACCAATCCGCCGCCATTCTCCCAAACTCTGAAATTATCCGGCCACGAGCCGTCCGCGCTAAAGGACGCTTCGTTAGGAACGCGAGTGAAGGAATAGGGGTACCCTGGTTGGTTGCCGTCGCTGTAAGCACCCGCAGGTGGGAGACGCCGAGCCTGTGAGTGTTCGTAACGTGATTGTAACGAGCGGACCGGAAGAATGAAAGGCAGGGAGGGACGTTGTCCAAATTGGGTGCCTATAAGAGAGCCTTTGTTAATGCGACAGTCGGCGGTCGCTTCCGGAAAACCGGGAAGCTGATCAGTGCACCTCGTGCTGCTCAGTGGTGACGTGGCACGAGGGAGAGGAGATGGGACAATTATGGAGGAGGAGGAAATCCCGGAGAAACAGGAGCGATTGGATAAGGATGAAGCAGCCATGGCAAGAGACGAACGCGAAGCCATCATTTCTGAGATTTCGAGCACCGACGGCGATGGTTGTTGAGTAGACTCTAAAAGCAGCGACGGCGATGGTTGTTGGTTAGACTCTAAAAGCAGCGACGGCGAAACGAGCGCGGTACTAGATGGTGATAGGAATCGAGGAACGGGAGGGAAGCGAGGAGGCCATGGGGTCAGCGGGAAATGGCGGTCCGCATGTTGGGCTAAGGGCGCGGAGAAGCGGCGACAACGCCGGAGAGCGTTCATGCACGACACGATCGGACGGCTACGCTACGCTAATGCAGAAACGTCCAGACAGACCTAGGAAACTGCGCTGTGCTATCCCGCGCTGCTTCAGGGGATTTACTCGAGGCGAGGAACACAATAGACGTTTGGCGATTTGGACGTGTTTTGAGGATTTAGCTTGGCTTGGTTTGGTAAAACATTTCTAGGTTGAGTTGGGTTTTGCGCGGTGTTTTTTACTGATTGAAAGAAGCAGAAAACATACACGACTTTAGTGGGCAATGCCGTGGGACTTTCTCGTCTGTAAGAGAATGTTCCCAAACGAGTACAAAACAGCATTTGCAGCTTTTTGACTGGGTGGCTAGCAAGTGTACGAAATACGGTACATATGTTGAGAATTTTACAGAGGCGCGACGAGTTTCGTACGACGCGGCGGCGCGTTAGTCCGACATGCCCTTAGAGAGATTCAATCGCCCGTTCGCAAGTGACGGTCCTTTGTCGAACCCTCGTCCCTTCTTCAAACCCCCAGCTTCGTTAACGCGGCTAAGACGCCGTGTCGATGGACAGCACTTCCGCCCCGCCCGCGATTCCCGCTCTCCTGGCGAGCCGCGACGAGGTTCTTGCCAGCGTGGCTCCCGCTGTGGGGAGGCGCGCCGCTGACGTGTGGCAGGGCGGGAAACTGTCCGACGTGTCGTTTCGCGACGAAGGATGGACCACAGGCGAAGCGAAATGCTTAGGTAAGTAACGAACGTTACAGAAAAGCTTCAACGGCGAGGTCACGCAGGGTGGCGCGTGGCAGAACACATTCCTCATTGGGAATTCCAGGTGACTTTTGAGTCGACTCAAAAGTCACGTGGCGCGTGGCAGAACACATTCCTCATTGGGACTTCCTCCAGAATTAGAAATAACCACGCGCCACGAACGTTGCAGAAAATGCGCGCTCTCTTTGCGTGATAGCATGTGTCAATTCAATACGCGGCACATGCTATAACGCCCCGTTACCGAGTGTGATGAGTCGATTTTTTAGTCGACTCAAAAATTGATAGCATGTGTCAATCTAATACGCGGCGTACGCTGTAACGCCCCGTTACCCACTGCCGCCTCGTTGTCACAGGCTCAAATCCGGGCGAAGCCTACACCGTTGGCTTCGATATACTCACAGGCGCAGCAGCAGGGGCAGCAGCAGGCACAGGAACAGCAGCGGCGAGTGGCAGTGCAAGGGCAGGGGGGAGAGGACGTGGACGAACAACAGGAAGAGTGGGAGGAGGGGTAGGGGTGCCACGTGTGCGCGTGGAAGGGAAATGCACGTGCCCAGCACACGCCCGGTGAGACAGCCACACGCTTCCTGCTCTCGTCTCCCTTTCTCTCGCTCTGCTCTCCATCTCATAGACGCATGGCCTATGAATGTTCAAGAATAACAATGAGACAATCTGGTGAGCATCTTCCCCTCTCACCCTGGAACTCCTTCCTGCTCTTTTACCCCTTGCCTCTCCTCCTCCCCTCCCACTCCTCCACTCCTCCACTCCTCCACTCCTCCCCTCCTCTCCCCTCCGCCTTTACCCCTCCTCCCTACCCCCGCCCACCACCTGCGCCACGGCAGGTCGGCCAACAGAGTCTGCAAGCACATGGCAGCGCCCTGTCTGGAGCGCGCGTCTCAGGTGGGCGGGGGAAGAGAAGGGAGTCAACCAACGTACACTGCTAAATGCTTCCCCCTCCGCCCGCTCTACCCCCGCCTCCCCCCTACCCCCACCACCTGCGCCACGGCAGGTCGGCCAACGGAGTGTGCAAGCACGTGGCAGCGCTTCTCAAGTTTTGAATCACTCGAAAGCTATTTGTTCCCCCACCATCTACGCCACGGCAGGTCGGCCAACGGAGTGTGCAAGCACGTGGCAGCGCTTCTCAAGTTTTGAATCACTCGAAAGCTATTTGTTCCCCCACCATCTACGCCACGGCAGGTCGGCCAACGGAGTGTGCAAGCACGTGGCAGCGCTTCTCAAGTTTTGAATCACTCGAAAGCTATTTGTTCCCCCACCATCTACGCCACGGCAGGTCGGCCAACGGAGTGTGCAAGCACGTGGCAGCGCTTCTCAAGTTTTGAATCACTCGAAAGCTATTTGTTCCCCCACCATCTACGCCACGGCAGGTCGGCCAACGGAGTGTGCAAGCACGTGGCAGCGCTTCTCCTGGAGAGGGCAACTCAGGTGGGCAATCGACCAACTCAGAGCTTCATGACAATTTGAACTGCGCTCTGTCCGAGGCATCTGGTCACTTCCTGCCACGCCGCAGCGCCGCCATGCCACGCCATGCCACGCCATGCCATGGCATGCTTTTGAAGGAAATGCTTGTTTTTTCCCGTCTTTTGTCACTCCCAGCTGATTGTTTCCCGTCTTTTGTCACTCCCAGCTGATTGTTGAGACATTACTTACGGTACCGTTCTTCTCTCGTCCCGATTTGCCTCTTTCCCCCTTTCCCCATGTTTCCCCTTTTTTTCCCCGTTCCCCTCTTTCCCCTTTCCCCCATTCCCCTCTTTCCACTTTCTCCCGTGCCCTTCTCTCAGCTGTCCTCCATGCCACCCGTTTCTAGTGCAAGGGTGCCAGCCAGCACAGGAGCCACGTCACTTCACGCTGCTGACACGTCAGCTCCTGCTGCTGACATGTCAGCCCCTGGACGTGACACGTCAGCAAGTGCTCCTGTTGGCCCTCCCAGGCCTGTGGTTACTGCTGGCTCGGATTCAACAAGCGCTATGCTGTCCGAGCCTCAGGCAGGCTCGGTTGCTACTGGGCAGCGTTTATCCGAACCTGTTAACGGGCTTTCCAAGCCTGTAGGCTTGGAATTGGGAAGAGTGGAGGCTGGGAAAGGAGGAGGAGGAGAGGGCAATGGGGGGATAGGGAAGGGAGAAGGTAAGACAGGGGAAGGGGATGATAGGAGTAGAGGTAAGGAGGGCTTGTGGAGTGGAATGGGTTTAGTGCGGTGTGGAGGGAGGGAAGCAGGTGCGACAAAGAAAAGAGGGAGGGTATTACCTGCTTGGATGCTGGTGGTAAAGGATGGGGGGAAGGGGGGCGAGGGGGAGGAGAAGGGGGCGAAGGGGGACGAGGGGACGGGGAAGGGTGAGAAAAAGGTTCGGGGAAAGAAGGAGAAAGGGAGTTTGGATGGAGGGAAGAAAGCTGGGACGAAGAGAGGAGGTGAGGGAAGGAGAGGAGGGAGTGTGAAGTGAGTGAGGAGGGAGAGGAGGAGAGTGATGGGGTTTAAGTTGGGGGATGAATTCAGTGAGGAGGAAGAGGAGGAGGAGGAGGAGGAGGAGGAGGTGGAGGGGGAGAGGGTGAAAGAGGAGGAGGAAGAGGGGGAGGGTGGAGAGGTGGTGGAAAGGGCTGGGAAGAAGGGAGAGGCAGAAGAAGAGAGGGAAGGAAGCATGGGGCGTGAAAGGGAGGTGAGGGATGGGGAGGAAGCATGGGGCACGTGGCAGCGCTTCTCAAGTTTTGATAGGAAGGAAAGGGAGGAAAGGGAGGTGAGGGATGGGGAGGAGGTGTTGATAGGAGGGGAGGAGAGAGGGAGAGGAAAAGGAAGAGGCCGCAGGAGGGGGAACGAAGAAAGGGAGGAGAATACAGGGGTGGAAATGTGGGCCAAGGGGGGGCGCAACGTGGGGAAGGGGAGGAGCAGGAGGGGACATGTGAGCGCGGGCTGTGAGGAGGAGGAGGGGAAGGAAGAGGAGGAAAGGGGAGGTGAGGATGTTTATGGGGAGCGTTATGAGCGTGGCCATGACGTTGCTGACGTGGCAGCGGATGCTGCTGCTGACGTGGATTTCACAGATGATGATCTGTTGATGCTAGCAGCACAGGTGGGTTCTCTTGCCTGCTGTTCACGTTCTCGCCTTCCTTTTCTTGCTCGCATCCCTTTCCCCGCTCTCACCGCTTTCCACCCTTATCCCCCTTTTCCCCTTTCCCCCCGCTCCCCACGTTTCTCTCTCAGCTACTTCTCTCCCCATTCCCCTCTCCCTTTTCTCCCTGCCTCTCTTCCTCCTCCTTTCCATTGAGGCCCCAGCTCCCTCTCACCTCCTCTCCCATGCCCCCTCTAATATTCCTCCCATTGTTCCCCTGTGCCTTGCACCACAGCACACCAAGCCCCACACGCCCTTAGGAAGAGACGAGGTGCGAACACCAACAGCAGTGCAGCCCTCTGAAGCACCTAAAGCAGTGGCAGCAGCAGCAGTGCAAGTGGAAGCAGAAGCAGAAGCAGCAGCAGAACCAGCCAAGGCAGCAGTAGCACCACAATCATCAGCGGAAGCAGCAGCAGAAACAGCAGAGCCAGCGTCAGCATCACCTGAGCAGTTGTCACCACCGTTTTGGCAGCACTTCTTCTTCCCGGCCCCTCCCAAGACACAAGCCCCACTCAATGCCACTCACGCCAACCAGGACGAACAACAGCCCACTAGCCAGCAGCCTAGCCAGACGCCAAGCCATCAGCAGCCAAGCCAGGTGCCAAGCCCGCAGCCTAAGCAGCAGCCAAGCCAGCAGCCGTTTTTAAGTCAGCACGCCAATGTGTTTTCCAGCAGAGGGTGGGAGGCTGTAGGTGAAGAGCCAGAGCGAGTGCCCAGCAATGTGAACACCAGCAGCGGCATGAGCAGCGGGCAGGCATCTGTGGGAATAATGGATTTTTTTGCCGGCCTCAAGGCGAGCCAGCAGAGTCATAGACGCGTGGGCGATGGTGCTGCTGCTGAATGAGTGCCTATATTTGAGATAGAAAGCATGTTACAGCATCAGCAGAATCAGCAGCTGCGTTTCAGCTTGAGAGAAGGTGTTTGTGCGAAGGCTTACATACTTAGGCTTTCGGTCTTCATATGAGTGAATGCAGGCAGACATGTTGCGGCTGTTCAATATGGTGTTGGGAAAAGCAAGGTACGAGCCGAGACCACTACCCAAAGCATTTCGCTACAAGAAAGGTCAGTCCAGATGAACAAGGGAACAGGGGAACACAGGAAAACGGGAAGGAACACTCTACCAGATTGAAGTACTTGCGTTATTCAGCGATGTACACGTATGTCGCGTGTGGACAGCTCATTCAACAATGTCAGTTGTATGAGCATGGGCTGAATGTTGCTACAGAAACCGAATCATTACGGTGAACCTTTCGCGCTTATCTCGGTATTTGTGTGAATCACACTACTTCATGACATCTGCAACAATTACCATTAGAAACTTCGTATTACATCCTTGAAATTTGTGTTTGTTGAATACTTCAATAATGCAGCACAAATTGAAGCTCAGTGAATAGTGTAACAGAAAACCTGAGAGTAGTAAAACAGAAAACCTGCATGAACAGTAATGTATCATGATTCTGCAAAGCATACAAAAATTGATTGGATAACACTCCCAAATACCGTACATATAACTTGTTATACCAGATTAAACAGGAGAATATAACTGTTTGACTGAAGCAAGATTACAGACTACATGAAGTGCCAAATCCGCCACACTCCTTGACCCGCCATCCTTTCTCTACAGACGCCACGCCACATCATGGCATTGCCATTGCCATTGCATGCACAAGAAGGACAGCTGTAGGGTGTAAAGGCACTCACCACCACCTCCACCACCACTCTCACCACTCCCACCACACTCCCCACTCCTGAACAACACACCAACCATCCAGAACAGACCAAACAGAACACACAACACTTACAGAACACACAACACATCCAGAACACACAATACATGCAGAACACACCACCCATCCAGAACACACAACACATGCAGAACACACCACCCATCCAGAACACACAACACATTCAGAACACTCAACCCATCCACAACACACCACCCATCCACAAACACACCACCCATCCACAAACACCACCCCAACACACAAAGCAACTCAGCCAAGAGACCACCAGCACCACCACCCACCCCACCCACCCATGCTTAACAACCTACCTACCTACCCACATCCACCCACATGCAGTAACCAACAACCACCCACCCACCTACCTAACCACCCACTCACCACCCCTCCCCACACCGCCCAAACAAGCCCACCCCTCACACCCAGCACAGCACCACCCGGCCAGCACCCAGCCTCGAGCCACCACCCGCCTACCCGTTTACCCAGCCACAGCCCGCCGACCCTTCATTCAGCCCCCATCCCTCCTCTCTTCCACTCACCCACCTTAGGGAAATCAGGGCCCATCTCACAAATTTACTAAACCCACCTTAGAGTAATCAACCCATCTTACCCAACCCAGCTCTCTCACTTCACTTAAGGGCATTCAGACCACCCAAGGGGATTCACCACTTCCTTCTCACCCATCCGACCCAAGGGGATTCACCCCTTCCTTCTCACCCATCCCACTCAAGGGGATTCACCCCTTCCTTCTCACCCATCCGACCCAAGGGGATTCACCCCTTCCTTCTCACCCATCCCACCCAAGGGGATTCACCCCTTCCTTCTCACCCATCCCACCCAAGGGGATTCACCCCTTCCTTCTCACCCATCCGACCCAAGGGGATTCACCCCTTCCTTCTCACCCATCCCACCCAAGGGGATTCACCCCTTTCTTCTCACCTATCCCACTCAAGGGGATTCAGTCCCCTTCCCTCTCCACCACCCAACCCCCATTCCCTCTCACCCACCCAATCCAAGGGGATTCAGTCCCCTTCTCTCTCACCCACCCAACCCAAGAGGATTCAGTCCCCTTCTCTCTCACCCACCCAACCCAAGGGGATTCGGTCCCCTTCTCTCTCACCCACCCAACCCAAGGGGATTCAGTCCCCTTCTCTCTCACCCACCCAACCCAAGGGGATTCAGTCCCCTTCTCTCTCACCCACCCAACCCAACGGGTTTCAGGACCCCTCTCTCTCACCCACCCACCCAGCCCATCCCCACCATCACCTGCCAGCAGTAGGAGCAGCAGAAAGCCCCACTCAGGCCCACTCAGGCCCACTCACACCCCACTCACCACCCAAGGGGTTTCAGGCCCCACCCACCACCCAAGGGCTTTCAGGCCCCACTCACCCCACCTCTCACTGCATCTCATCACCTCGGCACTCCCACACATCCACCATCACCGCTCACACTCACCACTCACTCTCACTGCTCTGTATCAACACACTCTCATGATTGTCGCCACTCTAACCTCACCGCTCTAACCTCACCGCTCTAACCTCACCGCTCTAACCTCACCGCTCTAACCTCACCGCTCTAACCACTCATCCACACCACCCTCTCTGTTCTCACTGCCACCAGCAGCACCCACACACTGCGCACTGTTGTACCCCTCGCCACTCTCCACTCAGTGACACTCACCACTCCCTTACTGCACTCTCACCACTCACTCCCTGTCCACTCTCATTCCTCAATCGCTACACTCACTTGCACCACTCACTCCATTTCACCATCTGGCCACTCCCACCCCTCCATCACTCTCCATTCCCACCACTCACCTTCACCACTCACTCCAACCCCTCACAATCGCCACACGGTCTCACCACACACAAACGATTCTCACCACTCCAACCACCTTCCCTACTCTCACTGTCACCAGCATACACTCACAGCCATTCTAACCTCCCACTCTCACAACTCTCTCCCACCACTCACTCTCATGGCTCTCACCTCTTGCTCTACTTCACTCAACACTCACGCACTCTTGCTGCTCACTCTCAGCACCCACCCAAGCTTACCATTCTCACAACTCAATCCCATACTCATTCTCACCTCTTGCACTCTCATTACTCACCCTAACCACTAGCTCTCACTAACCAGCCTTACCAACACTCACTCATTCACTCACTCACTCAAAAAAATTGGCTTCAGCACTCTCACCACTCAACTCCCCCAGTCCCACCTGTGGCTATCACCGCTTTCACCCATAACCCTAATTACACACTCAATCACACCACTCACACTAACCACCATCACCTCTCATGCAACAGGTGGCATCAGTGCCGTACGGCTAATCATGTGCCGCCCAAAGGGACTCAGCCCCTTTCACTTGCACCCACCCACCCAAGGGGACTCAGCCCCTTTCACTTTCACTCACCCACCCAAGGGGACTCAGCCCCTTTCACTTTCACTCACCCACCCAAGGGGACTCAGCCCGTTTCATTTGCACTCACCCACCCAAGGGGACTCAGCCCCTTTCACTTGCACTCACCCACCCAAGGGGACTCAGCCCCTTTCCCTTGCACCCACCCACCCAAGGGGACTCAGCCCCTTTCACTTGCACTCACCCACCCAAGGGGACTCAGCCCCTTGTCCCTTGCAACCACCCACCCAAGGGGACTCAGCCCCTTTCCCTTGCACCCACCCACCCAAGGGGACTCAGCCCCTTTTATTTGCACTCACCCACCCAAGGGGACTCAGCCCCTTTCATTAGCACTCACCCACCCAAGGGGACTCAGCCCCTTTCATTAGCACTCACCCACCCAAGGGGACTCAGCCCCTTTCATTAGCACTCACCCACCCAAGGGGACTCAGCCCCTTTCATTAGCACTCACCCACCCAAGGGGACTCAGCTCCTTTCATTAGCACTCACCCACCCAAGGGGACTCAGCCCCTTTCATTAGCACTCACCCACCCAAGGGGACTCAGCCCCTTTCACTTGCACCCACCCACCCAAGCGGACTCAGCCCCTTTCACTTGCACCCACCCACCCAGGGGACTCGGCCCTTTCCCTTGCACCCACCCACCCAAGGGGACTCAGCCCCTTTCATTAGCACTCACCCACCCAAAGGGGACTCAGCCCCTTTCACTTGCACCCACCCACCTAAGGGGACTCAGCCCCTTTCCCTTTCACTCACCCACCCAAGTGACTCAGCCCCTTTCCCTTGCACTCACCCACCCAAGGGGACTCAGCCCCTTTCCCTTGCACCCGCCCACCCAAGGGGACTCAGCCCCTCTTACTTGCACTCACCCACCCAAGGGGACTCAGTCCACTCACCCACCCAAGGGGTTTCAGGCCCCTTCCCCTTCCACACCACCCAGCCATCCCCACCATTACCAGCCAGCAGTAGGAGCAGCAGAGAGCCCACTTTCTTAAGGAAACAGCAACCCCTGAGGCTGAGCCTTGTGGGATGAAGTGTGGCAGTGGAAAATCGCTTCCAGCCCACCCCTGACGTTGCTAGAGCTGACGCGAACCAGAGCCGCCGGCCGGTCGGCTCTGACGGTGCCCATTAAGCCTTAACGTCAGGTTAGTTACTTGAGCACCGAGTGCCGTGCCGCAGAGATTCCACCCACCACACCCCAACTCACAAGTTACAACCCCAGAGGATGCTGCCCCTAAGGCAGTGAACTTCCCGCTTGCTCCCATGCTCCCAACCCTCCCTCCCCACACTTCACCCCCATGCAAACTTACCTCTACCTACCTTAGGCGTGCAGAGCGCCATGATGCTGAGGCTGCTGGGAAGTGGAGGCAACACCAGTGAGGAGGAGGAGGCAACACCAGTGAGGAGGAGGAGGCAACACCAGTGAGGAGGAGGAGGCAACACCAGTGAGGAGGAGGAGGCAACACCAGTGAGGAGGAGGAGGCAAAACCAGTGAGGAGGAGGAGGCAACACCAGTGAGGAGGAGGAGGAGGAGGAGGCAACACCAGTGAGGAGGAGGAGGCAACACCAGTGAGGAGGAGGAGGCAACACCAGTTAGGAGGAGGAGGCAACACCAGTGAGGAGGAGGAGGCAACACCAGTGAGGAGGAGGAGGAGGAGGAGGAGGCAACACCAGTGAGGAGGAGGAGGAGGAGGAGGAGGCAACACCAGTGAGGAGGAGGAGGAGGAGGAGGAGGAGGAGGAGGAGGAGGAGGAGGAGGAGGAGGAGGAGGAGGAGGAAGAGGAGGAGGAGGAGGAGGAGGAGGAGGAGGAGGAGGAGGAGGAGGAGGAGGAGGAGGAGGAGGAGGCAAAACCAGGGAGGAGGAGGAGGCAAAACCAAGGAGGAGGAGGAGGAGGAGGAGGAGGAGGAGGAGGAGGAGGAGGAGGAGGAGGAGGAGGAGGAGGAGGAGGAGGAGGAGGCAACACCAGTGAGGAGGAGGAGGCAACACCAGTGAGGAGGAGGAGGCATCACCAGTGAGGAGGAGGAGGAGGAGGAGGAGGAGGAGGAGGAGGAGGAGGAGGAGGAGGAGGAGGAGGAGGAGGAGGAGGAGGAGGCAACACCAGTGAGGAGGAGGAGGAGGAGGAGGCAACACCAGTGAGGAGGAGGAGGAGGAGGAGGAGGAGGAGGAGGCAACACCAGTGAGGAGGAGGAGGAGGAGGAGGAGGAGGAGGAGGAGGCAAAACCAGTGGAGAGGAGGAGGCAACACCAGTGAGGAGGAGGAGGAGGAGGAGGAGGAGGAGTAGGAGGGGGAAGGGAGGAGGAGGGGGGGAGAAAACGGGGAAGTGAAGGGGGTGCAGAGGAATGGGGAGAGCAGTAAGGAAAGAAGCGAAGACAAGTGAAAGTGAAGAGTGCAGCAAGTGCAAGAATGATGTGTGTATGAGCCGACTGCTGCAGTGGCACACCCAAGAGACCTCGTACCAGCTGAACCAAACTAAAACAAATACCTGAGGCTGTACCAAGAAAAATTTACCTGCTACCTTGGGGAGGGAGGTCTCATGGGTGTGACAAAGAGCTGTAAAATGTAGAGCATGATGCATGGTGCAAGGATGGCATGAGCGCAACAGAGTGGAGGGAGGAGAAGGCACTTAGCTGGCGGTTGACAAAGCAACGAGAGCTGGTGGTGTTGCCGCAGCTGCTGCTCACCCCCACGCCAACAAGACGTACAGCCGTGCGACCATCTCGCCAGCGACTACGCGCGGACGACCATTTCGCCATGCCATGTCGGACGGACGACCATTTCGCCATGCTGCGACGAGCGGACGGCGATTCCGCCTTATTACGACGCGCGGACGGCGATTCCGCCTTAGTACGACGCGCGGACGGCGATTCCGCCTTAGTACGACGCGCGGACGGCGATTCCGCCTTAGTACGACGCGCGGACGACGATTCCGCCTTAGTACGACGCGCGGACGGCGGTTCCGCCTTAGTCCGACGCGCGGTCGGCGATTCCGCCTTAGTACGATGCGCGGACAACGATTCCGCCTTAGTACGACGCGCGGACGACGATTCCGCCTTAGTACGACGCGCGGACGACGATTCCGCCCTACGATGACGCGCGGACAACGATTCCGCCGTGCGAAGACGCGCGGACAACGATTCCGCCGTGCGAAGACGCGCGGACGACGATTCCGCCATGCAACGACGCACGGACAGCGATTTCGCCGTGCTTTGAGGCGCGGAAGACGGATTCGCCGTGCGACGGCGCACGGACGACGATTCGGCTTCGTACGACGCGCGGCCAACGTTTTCGCCTTAGTACGACGCGCAGACGACGATTTCACCGTGCGATGACGCGCGGACGACAGCCGTGCACGTCGCAGACGATAGCAACGCCAGCCGCACCTGAACGTAGACAACGCAGCAATAACAGAGAATGAAGGTTTGTGACCATAACAAGGCTCATGACGTGCTGCATCGAATGAATCTCAGAGGGAGGCGAAACGTGAACACTGATAGACTATCCAGGATGAAATATCGTTGCATTGGAGGACTAACCTTGTCGAATAAGTCGCCAGATATCATTGGTTCAGCGCTTCACCAGTACAGCACGGAGAAGACTCATCCCCGCCGGAAACGCTGAAAAGCGATCGAAAGTGCGATCGATCACCCAAGAAGCCGTCGACGCGATAACGTATCGTGACGAGGAGGATAGGAATCGTCGCCAGCGAGAACGGAACTAGCGGCCTGATTTGGACGATGGCGAAAGTAGTCGTTGCTTTCAAAGAAATCAATGCAGAACGCCGAGAGGTCGTTTTTAAGGCGAACGCCGTTCCTGACGGAAAAACTATTGCTAATCCGTTCCCACATGCTAACTACCGACATGGCTCCGCAGTTGTCGTTGAATCAAAGGTAGAAGCTACAAGTGAAGGAATGGAAAATGGGGAGCAGGAGGGTGATGGGAGGAGGCGAGTGAGTTGGACAGTGGTTGCTGCGCTGACTGCCTGCAACGCTGCTTGGTTGGGTTCGAAAACTTGAAACGGTTCAAATCGGTTGCAATGTGTTTGGAACAATTTTCCTGGCTTGGTCGAGAAACTCTAATGGTTCAGCTCGGTTGCTATATTTCTGGAAAGGTTCTGGTGTTTAGAACGGGTGTTCACCTCGTTCTGTGTACTGCAGGAAGCGTTCAGCTCAGCACAGGCCAGATGATCTTTGACCAATCCCGAGGTTGGGTTGTCGGCGGAATATTTCCGCCTAGGGTGCCGCGAGGCAAGGCTCGCCGACAAGGTTGGCGCATCGCGCCTGGCCGCTATTTCACGTTCGTTGCGCAAAAAGGCGGGGCGACGAAAACCGCAACGTTCACAATGGTATGTAAATCAGGAAACGAAACAGCTTGCGATTCAGTGCGAACTTGGATCTGGTTACTTCTGAATAGTTTTGACACTTACGACAGTCTTGAGTGTCGCCATCTCCGTCAAGCCCAACGGTTGGGCAGGAAGACCCGGCAAATGGCGGAGACTCAAAACCCAAAAAGACTGACACTCACAGGGACCAGCGCAAACCGGAGTGCTTCCGCAACGTTTTTGTCGGGATCTTGGTGCCGTGCCGAAGAGAGCTGCGAACTGCAAGATTCTTGTTGGGTCTCGGAACTGACGCAATCTCAACTAAAGGTTCAGGGATCACACAAATCCAACGGTCCGAAACGGTTTGTGCATAATCTCTGAGAAAATTGGTGCATATTTCAGTCCTCGATACCAGACCCTCCTATTTCCTTCACAAAGTAATATGAATGAGCACGTGACATAACATAGAGTCATTACACTTCAGCATCTCAATTGAAAAGCTACAAATATTTCAGGTTTTGTACAGAAACCACACCAGGAAAATAAGAGAAAGAAAAGCAAAGACTCCTTTCATGTAAAGCAAGCACAAAGAGCACAGTAGATATTACACATTGTTACTTAAAGAAGCCATGGTACAAATAAATCAAGAAAACATACTGTACCAGTAATACACGATCCAAAGAAACTGGTACAATTTTTGCTACTGATTCAATGTGATTGCACCTTCTCTTTGGAAGCACGACGCCCACTGCAAACGCTGGAGCCAGTGCCTTCGTCAACAAAATACCCATAATTTTTTTTCGTGCTTGTTGGTACTAGAAGGGTCACTTTCTCACAGCTGTAAGGAAAATCTCTTTTTCCTTACTTCGCATCCCTGCTCAACGCGTACATCACTGTAGCACCACAGTCGGCACCGTTACCACTCGCCATCCTCGCATCGACAATCCGCCCGCCACTTTCGCACGTCGCACCCCGACCTCACGGCTCGGCGGGTAACCCGCGCTCCGGGCCTCCGCTTCGACACTTTTCCCAACCTCAGTCCCAGGCCCGTCGCGCGACAACCACAGTCCATTACCGTTACCACTGTAGTTTCGCTATATATTCTTCGCTCATGCCTTCGCTCATTGTACTCTTGCTTCGATAGTGCAATTCTCGTTCGTTCACTCAATTGCACTCGTAACACTTGGTATTCAGAGCCTACGATCTCTTCTCGGACCGCACCCACACCTTCGCTTCCCCACTATCTCAGTTTTTGGGGGGGGTAGACGTCTCTCAGCGATACAGCACCGCCGCTCGTAGTGCTCTCTCGTAAGCACGCACGGCCACGACTGAGGCTCTCGCTGAGCTCGCCCGACACCCCCGCCATGGCCGAATTCACGCTCGCCACATTGACGCAAGAGCAGCTCGACCGTCTGGTGCGCCAACTCGAAGATTCGGCGCTCGAAATTGCGACGCTCACAGCGGAGCATGACTCCGCGCGTCAGCAATCCTCGGTGAACACTCCAGCAGCACCACACGCACCAACAAATGCACCTGCGCAATCAAACGAGCCGATCATCATCTCGTCCGGCACACCAACACCACACGACAGCATGGGACAGCGCTCGGGCGTAGCCAGTGATAGCGCCGCCCAACCAATGCCTGGCATGGGAGGAAACAGAAGCGCGCCAAGCCCACGGGAGCCTCGCGGAGACCGTCGGCACGTGGAATTCGCAGCGACAAGTGGCGAACAAGCCTTCACGGCGCCAATGCCACTCAAGCCGCAACGCCCGCCCTGTTTCGACCCAAGCCAACGTGGAGGTCCGACGGTTCAATCGTGGGTCTTCACGATGAACGTTTTCTTCGACGCGAATTACGTCGAGTCGGACGCAGCGAAGATTCGGTATGCCGTTTCGCTGCTAAGGGGCCCCGCCATGGACTGGTGGCGAGTCATCGTGACGTCGCCACGCGCCTACGAGCCACCGTCGCAAGAGGAAGGGCCCACGGGTCCAGCTGTTACCTGGAGTTCGTTCTGCGAAACCGCCCAATACAGCACGTGGGATGCGTGGTGCGCAGGGCTTCGGGCGCGCTTCGAGCCGATTGCGGCTTCTATTTCGGCGCGTCAGAAATTGCGTACTTGGCGGCAACTCGGATCGGTTCAAGATTACACGAGCGGTTTTCTCGCACTTTGCGAGCAAGTCGGCTATATGCACGAAGCGGAGCGGGTGGACCGTTACGTCGGAGGGCTGAAGCCGGACATCTCGCACGAGATCATGCTACGCGGACTCTCGAATTTCAACGAGATTCTCGCGCTCGCCGAGAAAATCGACATCCTACGCCGACCGAGACCGGGGTTCTACCACGGACATCGTCCTCGGGGACCGATCGAGCACGCCACTGTGAACGCCGTTGCGACAAATGCAGCTGTTGCGCCATTTAAGGGGCGCTGCTTTGCTTGCAACAGGCCGGGCCATCGCAAGAGCGAATGCCCAGAGGAGCTAAGGCGCCGCGGAGCAGAGCAGGGGAGGGAGTCTCAGAGGCAGGGAAACGCCAGCAGTCAGTAGAGGTTGGGCCAACTACTGACGAGACTGCCTGCTCGCCCAACCACACCGACCCTCACCGAGTCACAGTACCGATTCACGCCATCGATCGGGCTCGGATGAATAAGGAGGGTACAGCGACGGATTGCCCAGTACTGATCCACGGGAAAATACAGGGAGCAGCAGTGAAGATTTTTATTGACGGAGGAGCAAGCCACAGTTTAGTTAATACCGCAACCGCACGAAAACTGCAACTGACACTTAGCCGTTGCTTACCGGAGATAGACGCACGCTTAGTTGACGGCACGCCGCTGGCCATACGGGAAAAGGTAGAGAAAGTCAAAGTCCGCTGCGGGGGGAATTTTGGGTTTACACTGGAAATGCTCGCAACAACACTGGATGGGCACGACATTTTACTAGGGCGCGATTGGCTGCGACGGTATAACCCGCGAATTGACTGGACGACGGGTAGCTGCACCATGCGAAGTAGTGGTAACTGGGTCCAACTACCTCGCTGGCAGTCGCCCGAGTCTTCAACGGTGCACGTCAACGCCATCACAATGAAACGGGCTGTCGCTGCTGGAGCTGACGTGTACGCAGTAGATATCGCAGTAGTGGAGGAAGCAGAGCAGCCGAGCGATTTCAAGAAACTGCTGGATGCTGTACCGCCCGAATTACAGGAACTGTTGAAACGGTACCCCAGGATTTTCCCCGACGACTTACCGGAAGGGTTGCCACCTCAGCGAGCACACGACCACCGAATCGAATTAGAACCAGGGGCACAACCAACCGTACAGCGCCAGTTCAGACTGACACAGCCCGAGCTCGATGAGCTAAGGAAGCAGTTAGATTACTTGTTAGAGAAAAAATTCATCCGACCAAGCTCGTCACCATTCGCCGCACCGATACTGTTCACGCCGAAGAAAGACGGGGGTTTCCGCATGTGTATCGACTACAGAGCACTGAACAGGGTAACAGTCAAGTCGCGATACCCCATTCCCCGCGCCGACGAACTGATCGACCAATTGCGAACAGCACGGGTGTTTTCGAAAATAGACTTACGGGGGGGTTACCATCAGATTCGGGTCGAACCATCGGACTGCGCCAAGACAGCATTTAGGACTAGGTACGGGTCGTTCGAGTACACGGTGATGCCCTTCGGGCTGACCAACGCACCGGCGACTTTTCAGATGACCATGAACGAGGCATTTAGGCCGCTCTTAGATAAATGCGTCATAGTTTACCTCGATGACATCCTCGTTTACAGTCGGGACAAGCAGCAGCACTTAGCGGATCTGGAAGCGGTTTTTAAGGTTTTAGACGAACATCGCCTACTGACCAAGGGTTCCAAGTGCGAGTTCTTCCAGGATAGGTTAGAATTTTTGGGGCACGTTATTTCGGAGGCTGGAGTTGAAATCGACCCAAAGAAGCTGGATACGGTAAAAGCGTGGCGTCCCCCGACCAACATCACGGAGCTGCAGAGTTTTTTAGGGTTCGTTAATAATGTGCGTCGGTTCGTCCCCGACATGGCACAGTTGACCGCCCCGCTGACTGATTTACTTCGCAAGGGGGTCATCTTTACGTGGGGGGAGAAAGAGCATGCTGCCTTCTCTGCCCTGAAAAATGTTCTCTGTTCACCACCCGTCCTGTGCATTGCCGACCCACACCGCCCTTTCAAGGTTGTTACTGACGCAAGCGACATCGCCATTGGGGCCGTACTGCTACAGGACTTCGGCAACGGCCTACAGCCCATCGCACACGAGTCACGAAAACTGCATCCGCCCGAGCGAAATTACCCGATACACGACCGCGAAATGCTCGCGATCGTGCATGCGTTCAAAGTGTGGCGCTGCTACTTGACCGGCGCAGACGTGACAGTACGGACAGACCACCGATCACTACAGTACCTCCGCGCACAGCCCCACCTCAACCCACGACAGATTCGTTGGCTCGATTTCCTCGAGTCAAATTTCCACTACACGGTCACCTATAAAAAAGGAGCCTCGAACATCGCCGACGCACTGACCCGCCCCACTGCCCAAATCCACGCGATACTACTCGCCCAGACCAGCCCGCTACTGACAGGACTATTTACCCACGGATATCAAACAGACCCATTCTTCACAGGAGGAAATTCGCAGCAGTTTGCAGCAGCCAAGGGAGTCTATTACGTAAAAGCCGGGACCGACCGCATCTGGGTACCAGGGTACACACTGCTACGGGAACTTCTATTACAGGAGGCACACGACGGGGTTACCTCGGGACATTTCGGGGTAGAGAAAACACGGCAGCAGCTGCAGCGGTATTATTATTGGCCCGAAATGTTGACCGACGTGCAGCGACACGTGGCATCGTGCCCCACTTGCCAGATCATGAAGTCATCACGGAAGCGGCCGGCGGGACAGTTGCAGCCGATCCCACCACCAGAGCGTGCTTGGCAGCAGGTGACGATGGACTTCGTCACGGGGTTACCGGCCGGGGCGAGTGGGAATGACGCGATCCTGGTCGTCGTCGATCGACTGACGAAAATGGCACACTTCGCAGCCTGCAAAAAATCAATCACAGCCGAAGAAACAGCCCGCCTCTTCATCTCCACCGTCGTTCGACTGCACGGGATACCAGCATCAATCATCAGCGATAGAGACACGAAGTTCACCAGCAACTTCTGGCGGAACCTGTGGCAGCAGTTCGGCACGCGACTACAGTTCAGTTCATCGTACCACCCCGAAACAGACGGACAGACAGAACGGACAAACCAGACCATGGAACAGCTCATCCGGGCCACGTGCGACGACCCAAACACGTGGGAACAGCAACTGCCGCTCATCGAATTCGTATACAACAACGCCCCATCCGCCACGACCCAACAGTCACCATTTTACCTGAACTACGGACAAGACCCAACAGTACCCATGACCCCGAATCCCGACAACCCGGTTCCACGCGCACAACAGTTCGCCGAAATTTTGCAAGCAGCACGGACCAGGGCAGCAGACGCAATTAAAAAATCTAACATCATCGCTAAACGTAACGCCGACCGCCACCGCAGACCTGTCACTTACCAGCCCGACGACTTAGTTTTGCTCGACACCCAGAATCTCCGACTGCCCATCACCCCGAAACTCCGCCCCCGATACTGCGGGCCATTTCGCATAAGCCACATGCTCACACCTGTCACTGCCCACCTCCTCCTCCCTGCTGACTGGTACGTCAGCCCCTCATTCCATGTCAGCCTGCTTCGCCCTTACGTCCCGTCCACGAGCCAACTGCCACGCAATCGCCCAGCCAGCATGACACGACCGCCAACTGAACAAATCATCACCCCCGAAAAAATCCTGAGCCACCGAGTTCGTGACCCTCGAGGAGCCCGAAGGATCGAATTCCTGATTCGCTGGAAAGACCGTGCACCCACCGAAGATAATTGGGTTCCCCTGGACAGAATCGAAAACCACCCCGTCCTCACCGAGTATCTGCGCAGCCGAAACTTCAGGGATGTACACGCACTTTCGTAAGGAGGACCTCCTTAGGGGGGGGGGTAGTGTAAGGAAAATATATTTTTCCTTACTTCGCATCCCTGCTCAACGCGTACATCACTGTAGCACCACAGTCGGCACCGTTACCACTCGCCATCCTCGCATCGACAATCCGCCCGCCACTTTCGCACGTCGCACCCCGACCTCACGGCTCGGCGGGTAACCCGCGCTCCGGGCCTCCGCTTCGACACTTTTCCCAACCTCAGTCCCAGGCCCGTCGCGCGACAACCACAGTCCATTACCGTTACCACTGTAGTTTCGCTATATATTCTTCGCTCATGCCTTCGCTCATTGTACTCTTGCTTCGATAGTGCAATTCTCGTTCGTTCACTCAATTGCACTCGTAACAACAGCCCACAGATGACTCCAGGCTGGCAGCACGACACATGTGCATGCACTCCACACAAGCACCTGCTGATAGCACACCCACATGCACTGTGCGCTCAAGGATGCGTGGAGACCTGCAAGCCATCCCTCAGATTTTATTTCTCGGCAAGTCACAAATGCACTTGCAATTCAAAGCTCATCAGGTGCACTGTACCCCAGTCAGTGGAGGGGCGTTTTTCTGCCCTTCCTCCCACAAGCACAACCCACCCACAAGCACCCACCCACACCCAACCATTCTGTTTTACAACTCATAGCAGAGCCCACTGCCCAATGCACTGTGAACGGCTTTATGAGTCTATTTAAAGGAGCTATGGATCGAGACAAATTGATGTGGTGTACAAGCAGCACAATCATGCTGCACACAGCGACAGGAATTTTGGTCACACAGGTACATCATGTTTTCATCTTGAGATGAAAATGCGAGCAATAGAATCTAGAACGCTGCCTTAAAGAAAAAAACACTGCATTGGACACTTTTCCCTGCAAAGGGTATTTTCAAATGACTAGCCTCGCCTCGGCTACACTAGTGAGAAAAATGTGTGAACGCGTGTGCAACGGCATGTGAGACACTAGTGTGAATTACCAAGCAGAGCAGCATCAGGCTTGGGCACGACTTCCATTTCCCTCAGGTGTGACACAAACTCGTCCACGAGGTATGGCGGGAGCGGAGATGAGAGCAGCGGTGATGAGAGGGGCAGGGATAAGAGGGGAAGTCATTATAGGAGCAGTGCTGAGTGGACAACAGAGGAGTGGTGACGTGCTAAGCAGCATCGGGCTTGCTGGGCACCACTCCTGCCTCCCTGAGGTGCGACACAAACTCGTCCACAAGGTATGGCGGGAGCAGCAGCGGTACGAAGAGCAGCGAGAGGAATGCATGAAGGCGTGTGTGACGGTATGTGTGAAGCTAGTAGGAACGGCTAAGCAGCATCAGGCTTGCTAGGCACCACCCCTTCCTCCCTTAGGTGCGACACAAACTCGTCCACGAGGTATGGCCACGCTCCCTCCTCATCGTACGATGAGAGCGATGGATCGGTGATCTGCGGGGGAGTGGGTGACACACGTGTAGCACGGAGAATGGGAGCAGAGTAAGCAAAGCCGACTGCCGGTTTGCTAGGCACCACCCCTTCCTCCCTGAGGTGCGACACAAACTCGTCGACCAGGTATGGCCACGCTCCCTCCTCATCGTACGATGAGAGCGATGGGTCGGTGATCTGTGGGGAAATGGGTGTGATGAGTGCGAGGGGCTGAGACACAGAATGCAATGAGATGGTGGCGGAGAGGAGGGTTGGCTACGACCGATCAGCTTGCTATTTCTAATGAAGGAAAATCGCAGCTTACCTTGGTAAACTCTAATAGCTGTTGCCACGTGTCTCGAGAAATGGCCTTGTTGTGTTTCATCTGCGAATTGACAGAGAGAGGTGGTGTGGGGCGGGGAGGGTAGGGCAGGGTGGAAGGGAGTGGAGGGTGCAACCTGTGACTGACTTGCCCAGCTAGAAGATACACCCATAACCAGTCTTACCTGCAAGTAACCCCACCCCACCACAGGTCCTCACAGCAAGAGGCCTACCTGGAGATATTCACACTGGGTATTCGCAGCATAAGCCTCACCTGAAAGTACTCCTCCTAACCGGTACTCACAGCAACAGTCCTACCTGGAGGTATTCACACCAGTGCTCGACGAATCGCCAAGGCCGCGCTGTGAACAGCAGCTGCCACATGCCTATGGCCGTGTCGAATGCCAGAGACTTCTGACCCTGCAGGGCATAACGTGAAACAGCAGATGGGCATAGGAGAGGAGGGAGATGGGGATGAGCAGGGGCGTGAGTAGAAGCAGTGAAGAGTGTTTTGAGACGTCTCAAAAGATGGGGATGAGGAGGGGAGTGAGTAGAAGCAGTGAAGAGCAGCTGCCACATGCCAATGGCCGTGTCGAATGCCAGAGACTTGTGACCCTGCAGCACAATCATATGCAGTGAGGATTGGGAGTGCAGAGGGAAGGACTTCTGACAAACGCAGCGGACAGCAGCTGCCACATGCCTGTTGCCGTGTCGAATGCTAGAGACTTGTGACCCTGCAGGCAGAGAAGCAGGAGATGGGAATGAAGGGTGTGAGCAGCAGCAGCAGCAGCAAACAGTGGTCCCACCTGTGGTGGTCACAAGAGAGGCATCTGTGTTGGTCACATCACATGAATAACCTGTTTCTTTGACTGATAGAAAAGAAGCTGGAACCGACCTTCTCCTTTGCCCAGTCGAAGGAGAAGTTGTAAATCTCCCTGAATTTATCTGGACCAAAAACATGCACACGCCCACACGCCATGCCGCGCACATCACATGCCACCACATGCCACCACATGCCACCACATGCCACCACATGCCACCACATGCCACCACATGCCACCACATGCCACCACATGCCACCACATGCCACCACATGCCACCACATGCCACCACATGCCACCACATGCCACCACATGCCACCACATGCCACCACATGCCACCACATGCCACCACATGCCACCACATGCCACCACATGCCACCACATGCCACCACATGCCACCACATGCCACCACATGCCACCACATGCCACCACATGCCACCACATGCCACCACATGCCACCACATGCCACCACATGCCACCACATGCCACCACATGCCACCACATGCCACCACATGCCACCACATGCCACCACATGCCACCACATGCCACCACATGCCACCACATGCCACCACATGCCACCACATGCCACCACATGCCACCACATGCCACCACATGCCACCACATGCCACCACATGCCACCACATGCCACCACATGCCACCACATGCCACCACATGCCCACACGCCCACACGCCCACACGCCATGCACAATTCCCACAGATAGTAAGAGCGAATGTGGCAAGCGCAGAAGTACCGAGAAGCAAGAAGCAACATGCACACGCGCCCAGCACTCCGTTTGGCCTTTCCTCTCCTCCTGCTCCAAGTGCTACCCTCTCCTGACACTCTTTCAAGTCACCCTCCCTCGAACACTCACAGTCATCGCAGTGCCGGCAACCTTGTCTTGAGCTTCCCTCTCCACACACCCCCCCTTCCCCCTCTTCCCCCCTCCCCTCCCTCTTCCCCCCACAACTTGTTAGGCACAGCAAGGACACTCGCACCCTCCTCAGGAGGAAAGCACTTAAGGCGTCCTTTCCTCTCCTCTCCTCCCGCTTCTATTGCCGGCACTTTTCCAAGTCGCCCCCCCTCGGACACTCACGGTCGTCGTTAATTTCTGATCGCAGTGCCGGCAACCTTGCCTTGAGCTCGCCCGCACTACTGACACTGCGAGGAAAGACAGGGCGAGAGACAGGAAGAAGAAGCGAGAGAGAGCTGATAGGACGCAAACAGGGTGTTGGCAGGGTGGGCTTGCTGAAAGGGCCAATCGGATCGCAGTGCCGGCAACCTTGCCTTGAGCTCGCCCGCACTACTGACACTGCGAGGAGGAGAGGGAAAAATGGGAGAACGGAGATAGGGCATTGATAAAGCACTGATAGGGTACTAATAGGGCACTGACACTGCTAATGGCTCTATCTGTTAATCCGCTTTCCAGCACCAATTTCGAGTCCTCATTCCCTCTCTTCTCATCTCGTTCTCATCCCCACTCTCTGTTCCCCACTTTCTTCGTCATAAATTACTTACCCCAGTCGTTGCATGCCTTTTGAGTCGACTCAAAGGGCTTCTCATACACACTCTCTGATCTGATCCCCACATTCTTCGTCGTGAATTACTTACCCCAGTCGTTGCATGCCTTACCCCAGTCGTTGCATGCCTTACTCACCCCAGTCGTTGCATGCCTTGCATAAATTCCTCCTTGGAGTATTCACACATGGTCGCTGCCTTGAAGTGCCATGATAGTATTAGCTGCAGAGGGAGGGGCGCGGGAAGAAAGGAGAGGGAGGAGATGGCACAAGGAGAAACATCAGTCTCCAGCGTGAACGGAAAATCCTCCTTGGATTAGAGTATTCACACATGGTCACTGCCTTGAAGTGCCCTGATAGTATTAGCTGCACAGGGAGGGATGTCGGGATAATACATGTGGAGAAGGCAAAAACAGCAGTCTCCAGCGTGAATGGAAATTCATCCTTGGAGTATTCACACATAGTCGCTGCCTTGAAGTGCCATGATAGTATTCGCTGCACAGGGAGGCATGGGTCGGCATGACATGGCATGATATGGCATGGGTTGGCATGGGTTGGCATGGGTTGGCATGGGATGAAATGCGGTGGAATGGGGTGGTGGCCGCAGGGGCCAGTCTGTGCGGCGTACGATGCATGCATGTATGATGTATGCAGTGTATGCAACACACGAAAATATGACTTGCGTGCATAAGATGCATGTGCATGCATAGTCGCATAAGGGAGAACGGATGCCTATATGAGCGCCTGCCGCTGTGCAGCACAGACTGTGCTTACCATGACAATGTCTTGAGGATCCACCTGGCGCCCACAAGGGAAAGAAACCATGGAAAGAGAGAGGGAAAGAAAGGGTGTGTGGGGAGGGGGAAGGGGTGGATTCAGGGGCCTCGAAATCGTCCGATTCTAAAAGTGAAAAAGAACAATGGAAAGAAAAGAGGGAGGTGAACGGTGGGGGAGAGGGGGGGGAGAGGAAAAGGGAGACCCTAAGAGCAGGAGGGAGAATACGTGAAATCTGAGACCTTGTGGCCACAGTAGGGATTGGAAGGAGTGAACAAAAGACAAAGGTCTGGAAAGAAGAGAGGAGAAAAGAAATCCTCTCAAAGCTTATACACACACCTCGAGGTCTTCACAGAGCTTTGAAATGCCATCCACGAGAATTAGATCGCAGTGAGGGTCTGAGGCAGGGAAACAGCACAGCAGCAGTAGGGAGCAGGAAGAGTATTGAATCAACTTATACGGGGGATGACACCCGACCACGAAACTCATGCCGGCATGAACGACTGATGCAGGGGGACACAGGAAACTGGCGGGGAACAGGAGAGGGAAGGGAGGCAGGAACGAGGGGCAAATACATACCTTCCCAACCCCTTCCACTGCACTGCACTGCACTGCACTGCATTGCACCTACCCTCGCACAACTCCGCATTATTCTGAGACGTCTCAAAACACCCTTCCACTGCACTGCACCTACCCTCGCACAACTCTGCACTACCCCACCTTTGTATCTGAGAAACAGATGCTCCAGCTGCCGAGGGTCCACTTTAGGAGCAGCAGAGCGCCCCAACGCCCTCAGCTGCTGACCCGAGGTGGAGGAGGAGTAGAAGAGGTCGAAGGCGAGCTCCATGTTCCACTCGCTCGCCCGCAGGGCCGCCAGTGCCCCCCGGTCGCTGGGAGAAGAAGGGGAGGGAATAATGGGCCGAGCTTGAGAGGAGTAGAAGAGGTCGAAGGCGAGCTCCATGTTCCACTCGCTCGCCCGCAGGGCTGCTAGTGCACCCCGATCGCTGCAACGCGAATGGAAGGAGGGTCAGTGAGAACAAGTGCAGTGATGAGGAGTAGAAGAGATCGAAGGCGAGCTCCATGTTCCACTCGCTCGCCCGCAGGGCCGCTAGTGCCCCCCGGTCGCTGTGGGGGGGGGAGTATGGGAGTGTGGGGGTGTGGAGTGAATGTGCGGAGTGGAGGGACAATGAGCACAAGTTGAGGTGGAGGAGGAGTAGAAGAGATCGAAGGCGAGCTCCATGTTCCACTCGCTGGCTCGCAGGGCCGCTAATGCTCCCCAATCGCTGAGGGGGCGAGGGGGGAGGGGAGGGAGGGCGGGGGGGAGGGAGGGAGGGAGGGAATGGAAGGTGGAGGAGGAGTAGAAGAGATCGAATGCGAGCTCCATGTTCCACTCGCTCGCCCGCAGAGCCGCTAATGCCCCTCGGTTGCTGAGAAGGGGATGGTGAAGGGGAAGGGAAGGAGGGAGGGAGATGAGGGAGAAGGGGATGAGAAGACCCGAGGTGGAGGAGTAAAAGAGGTCGAACGCGAGCTCCATGTTCCACTCGCTCGCCCTCAGAGCTGCTAGTACCCCCCGGTCACTGGGAGAAAAGGGCGCGAGGGGAGGGAGGCAGGGCGCGAAGGAAGAGAAAAAAGAGAGGGCCCGAGGTGGATGTGGAGGAGGAGGAGTAGAGGTCGAACGCGAGCTCCATGTTCCACTCGTTTTGAGGCGCCTCAAAACGAGGTGGATGTGGAGGAGGAGGAGTAGAGGTCGAACGCGAGCTCCATCTTCCACTCGCTCGGGCTCAGGGCCGCTAGTGCCCCTCGGTTGCTGAGAAGGGGATGGTGAAGGGGAAGGGAAGGAGGGAGGGAGAAGGGGATGAGAAGACCCGAGGCGGAGGAGGAGTAAAAGAGGTCGAACGCGAGCTCCATGTTCCGCTCGTTTTGAGGCGCCTCAAAACCAGGTGGAGGTGGTGGAGGAGGAGTAGAGGTCGAACGCGAGCTCCATGTTCCACTCGCTCGGGCTCAGGGCCGCTAGTACCCCGAGGTCGCTGGAAGGGGAATGTGGCAGCGTTCATCGCTCAGACCTTCGTGCTCACCACGTGCCTGTGCTGTGCCCACCACGTGCCTGTGCTGTGCCCACCACGTGCCTGTGCTGTGCTCACCACGTGCCTGTGCTGTGCTCACCACGCGTCTGTGCTGTGCACATGCCTATGCCATTCTCACCTCGTGCCTGTGATCGCCACGAATTGCTGTACTGCCTCCTTCTGCTGCCGATTCAGACGGCTCTGAGGAGGGGGGTGAGATGGAGAGGGGAGAGCGGGAGAGGGGTGCGGGGTAGGGTCGGATGAGGGAACACGAGGAAAAGGGGGGATGCGCGGGATATGCAACTATCACATGACATGACACGGGTGGGGACAACGGGAAATGCAATGCATTGCTGCACTGCACCAATTCCTTCTGCAGTCGACGCTAACGGTTAAAGGGAGAGAAGAGGACGAATCAGGAGCGCAGATATTTGGTACGACATCAGAAACACGGGCAGAACAAGTGAAGTTTGCGAGGAGGGAAGGGGGAGCAGGAAAAGGGGAGAAGGAAAGGAGAGAAGCGGATTAAATAGGATCGGGGGGGAAAGGGGACGAAAGTGCGAACAGGGATAGAAGGATATCAGATAGCGAGGCCATGACACGTACACTCATTCTGGCAATCGGATTCGATATACGCCAATTCGATACAGAAGTGTGTAGTCCGCGACGTCTCCCTCTCCTCCGTCGAGCCGCCTCAGCCTTGAAACGCGTACGGAATGTTCCAAGTCACGGGAAAGGTACGGAATTCCGCGACGACTATTGTAACGGCTTTAAACGATAACGAGACACAATCCTTCCTCTAAATCTCTGTACCCGCTCGGCTTTAATCCGAAGATAGCTACCAGACCTGAATTCAAACCGTTGGGGCTAGTGCGTGAGGCAGATAATAAGATGTGCAGAACCATGGTCAAGGCAAATCTGCTTTTGGTTGGTTGAAAACCTTTCTTTATTGTCATCTGTCGCTCGTTGCTGTCAAAGGGTCGGCAAAGCTAACAACACAACATGAGCAATTTGTATCAAGCCAAAGTAAAATCAGCAGAACTGTACAATGCCAATTGTGCAAAAAGTGCACAGGGTGGTAGTGTACGTCCAATTCGAATATTTGAACCCGTTCATTTCTGTCCCGCACACCCCTCGAAATTGTCGCAAATAACGGCTAGTCGTCGTCAACTTGACGCCTCGCAACTTGAGGCTGCTTGGCTCATAGTTGCAGCGCCATTCGACTGGGCAGTCAGGGTTGAGACCAGTCTTATAATTGACCGTTGAGATTGTTGTGCCTGCTCCGGTTAGTGCTTTGACCGAGCGTAGGGTGGCTTTGACTTGAGTGAGCAGTTATTTGTTAGGGTTTCAGTTCCAGCCGTGGCTTTTTCGACTCTGCCTCGCGTTGCCCAGATGATCCAATTCGCGATACCTCAGACTCGCGTAATATAAGGCGCTATTGACTTACGGTATCCTATACTTTAAATTTCTCGTGTTTGCAAAACCGCTTTCGTCGACAGCAAAGAAGAGGCCAGGGTTTTCATCAGCGGTCTTGGATTTACCGCCTATACAATGCCGCCACGTGGCAAGCCCAGAAATAGCTCGCGGCATCTCCCGCTTAGCCAATCCCGTCGCAAGATTCAGGCACCACTGTCGCGTTATTTGTCGCAGGAACCCGTAACATCTTCGCAACAGGTCTCGCCCAGTCCGTCGCAGCCAGATCCATCACAGCCATCAGTTTCGCAGGCTCCATCTCAGCCGTCCGCTCGGTTCAGATGGGATTCGCATGGAGCGGATGGGGTAACAGCAGCACCATCATTAGAGAAAACTGACCACGAATTTGTGACTAGAGAAGGTGTGACAGTATGTGATGTGACTGATGAAGGAGCAGTGGGAGGATCCGCAAAAACGCAAGGTGCAACTTCAGGAGGTGTGACATTAGACGATGTGACCTTAGGAGTTACGGCGGAGGTGATTGAGCTCGATTTGGTGCCGAGTCAGGATGACGTGTCCAAAATGGCCGAGCCGACACGTCAGGACCCAACGAGAAAGAGGCTGTTCAAGGGAAAGCACAGCGCTCTGCAGAAGCCTCGATTGTCCTTTTCCGTGCAGCAGCCTATCTGGTCCAGCTGGCAGCGGAAAAGACAAGCAGAACCAATGGCAGGCATAGGTGGGCGAGGGGGAGGGGCAGATGGTGGCACAGGGGGAAGGGGAGGGGAAGGCGGAGCAAGTAAAGGAGGGGGGGTAAGTGGGGGATGTTCCAGAGGAGTTCGAGGGGATAGTGTTGGAGAGAGAGCGGTTGTGGGGAGTGGTGGGAGAGTGAGGGGAAGAGAAGGAGCGAGACTGAGAGAGGGGAGTGTGGGAGAGAGGGTGTGGAGGAGCGTCTCTGAAAATGGGGACTTTGTGGGTTTGAGGGGGCTGGATGTGACAGCAATGGGGAGTGATACAAGAGGGGGGTTAGGGAGTCATGATAGAGGGGGGCTAGGGAGTGGCATGGTGTTTCATCCGACTGCATGGCGGTGTGGGATACCTGCTGTGGTGAGGAAGAGGAGGATCAAAACCATTGCTGATTGGTCAGATGATGATGCTGATGACAGTGGTGGTGGTGGTGGTGGTGGTGGTGATGGTGATGCTGCTGCTGCTGGTGATAGTGATGGTGATGGTGATGGTGATGGTGATGGTGATGGTGATGGTGATGGTGGTGGTGATGGTGATGGTGATGCAGGTGGTGGTGGTGATTGGTTGGATGAGGGCGGGGAAGAGGAGGGAGAGGAGGGAGAGGAGGGAGAGGAGGGAGAGGAGGCAGAGCAGGAAGATGAGGGAGAGGAGGAAGCGAAGGAAAATGAGGAGGAAAAGGATGAAGAGGCAGGTGAGGAAGGGGGGGAGGTGGAAGGGAGTGAGAAGGAGGCAGAGGAGGAAGAGCAGGATGAGCGTGAACTTGAGGGGTTAAAGGAGCAGCACATGAGAGAGTGTGGGAGGAGGAGGAAGAGGAGGCGTGTGATAGGAAGCGAGGAGGAGGAGGGGCAGGATGCAGGAAAGGGGATGGGAAAGGAGGAGAGAGGTGGGAGGGTGGGAGTACAGGAAACTGCTGATAGGGAGGAGGAAGCAGGAAGGGAGGAACAAGATGGAACGACGGGTGGGAACTATGATGACAGGGATGCTGACAATAATGACAGGGATGCTGACAGTGATGACAGGGACGCTGACAGTGACGACTCCATGATGACTCAGCCCGATGACGAAGCCACGTGGCAGTCCTTAATTGAGCAGTCCACGCACGAATGTGATCTGGAAAGTGCAAGGGAAGGAGGGATGGGGAAGGTGGATGAGTTGGAGGCTGTTTTAGATTCACAAGAGGAGGACATTGGTGGGGGCGGGAGGATAAGGGTAGAGGAAGAGCAGGAAAGAGTGGGAAGTGAAGCGGAGGGGAAAGGGAAGAAGGGAGGAGAAGTGAGAAGACGCGACGAGGTGGGGAATGAGGAGGGGGAAGGGAGGGAGAAGGCAGGAGGCAGTAGCGAGATGGTGCAGACAGGTATTGCAGGGAGAAGAGACGGGAGAAGAGAGGGGAGAAGCGAGGGGAGAGGAGACGGGAGAGGAGAGGAGGGTATAGGAGAGGTGGGGAAAGGAGGGGAGGGTAGAGGAGAGGAAGAGAGAGGAGAGGAAAAGAGAGGAAAGGAGGAGAGAGGAGCGAAGGAGAGAGGAGAGTGTGCAAAGGGAGGAAGGGAAGAGGAGAGGTTGAGGGAAGGAGAGGAGAAAGTTCTAGGTGATGTATACACACGGTGTGTACAGGACGAAGGAGATTCCTTGAGGGAAGGGACGGCGATGGGAGAGTTTGACTTTGAACCGCCCTCCTTCTCCCTCCACGTGCAGCCCTCTGATCTACAGGTGGAACCTGATGCGAGGATGAACTTCCTCCCCACACAGGGCGTGGACGCTCCCAGCTTCTCCTTGAATTTTGAGGCGCCTCCTAAGTCCCCCCGTCACGTGCGGCCCTCTGAGGTTCGGATAGAACCTGACGCTATGAACCTCCTCTCCTCACAGGGCTTGGACGCTCCCAGCTTCTCGTTGGGGCTGGAGGGTTGGGATGGGGAGGAGGACCCTTTGGAGGATGGGGTCATGGCAGAGAGGGACGGGCGGCAAGGAGCAGCAGAGAAAGGTTTTGGGTGGAGTCAAGGAGAGGTGGAGAGCACAGTGGGGGATGGGGAAGGGATGGGAAAGAGGGAAGCCTGGGAAGGGAAGCAGGGGGCAGTGGAGCAGCGAGTGGCAGTGGGAAGGGGCGGTGAGAGGAGACATGAAGATGCCGGGAGTCGTGAGGGTAAGAATGCGTCTGGAGATGTTGCTGCCGGGACGGTTGAGAGTGGAAAGAAGGTGAAGGTTGAGATGTCTGTGTCTCATGCTGCAGTTGCTGATTTCGCTGCTGGTAGTGCTGGTGGTGCTGCTGTGAGTGGGGACGGAGTCGGACGGAGGAGGTTGAAGAGGCTGCGAAAGGCTGTAGAGGTAAGGGGCAGGGCGGGAGAGAGCAAGGAGGAGGAGAGAAGGGTTGAGGAGAGAAGGGTTGAGGAAAGATGGAATGAGGAGAGAAAGGAGGAGGGGAGAAGGGAGGAGGAGACAAGGGAGGAGAGGAGGAAGGAGGAAGGGAAGGAGGGGAGCCAGTCAGAGGCGCCTGTTAAAGCGGGCATGGGGTTTGTGTGCTGTTCGCCTTCTCCTGTGCTGCTCTCACCATCTGCACCAGCGTTAGCAGCAGCTACACCGTCACCCACGCGCGGAGCACACACAGCAGCAGCAGCAGCAGCAGCAGCAGCAGCAGCAGGCACAACAGGAGCAGCACGCAGCCCCCCAGCATCGAAGCCGATTTTTGAGGCGCCTCAAAAAACGCCACCCAGGCGCGGAGCACACACAGAAGCAGCACACAGCCCCCCAGCATCGAAACCACCAGCAGCAGCAGCTTCTGCTACCCCTGCAGCACCAAAGTCAGCAGCACCAAGGGATGCAGCAGCAGCAGCAGCAGCAGCAGCAGCAGCAGCAGCAACTCACCATCGCTCAGCCAGCCATCCGTGGCGTACCCCTGCATCCCCGTTAATGCCTGCTCCAGTACCGTCTAAGCGCCCCATGTCCTGCCCAGCGATGCCTAGACTACCTCAGACGTGGTTCCGGGCAGATGATGATATTGAGGATGATATTGAGATGGTGGGTGTGAGAGACATGATAGATGTAGAAGATATAGAGGACACGCCTCCGGAGGGGCAAGAGGAAGGGGAGGCGGGTGAGAGAGGAGAGGAGGGTGAGGGGAGAGAGGAGAGGTGTGGAGAGGTGGAGGGGTTGCGGCGGCGGCTGTTCTTGGATGGGGACGATGAGGGATGGGCAGCAGATGTGTGTGAGGGGGCGACGGGAACTGGCTGCACCCAGGGACGGAGCTCAGTGGTTCAACCACCAAGTCGTTTCACTGACTCGTTGAAGCAACGACAGCCGCCTAAAACACAGACACCTGTTCTGTCGAATTGCGTGGCAAGCCCAGGCATCACACAACAGGCACCGGCTGCTCAACCACCTTCTCTGTCTGATACCGTGCAACGTGCGACCCCAACCCAGGCACCGGCAACAACACCTGCGCCGTCGAGCACCATGCATCAGCCACCCGCAACACAGACACCGGCAACAACACCCACGTTGCCTGAGGCTACGAGGCAGCTGCTGCAGCGGCGCCTGCCGCACCTGCAGCTGGTGGGGTGGCTGGAGGAGCGCGGGTGCGACTCCAACGGTGACCCTGTTTTCATCGACTACCGACGCCAGTTTGGTGTGGGACCGTCTGGGGGAGAAGATGCGGACAGGGGCGGCCGCCCTTTGCCGCATGCAAGTCAAGCGTATGGAAATGAGTATGAGAATGGTTGCTATGAGGTCGGGGGTTCCGGGTTTCCATGGCCGCAGCAGCCTGCTGGTGTTGCTGTTGGGAGTGGTGATAGGAATGGGGGGGGGATGGGAGGGGAGGGATTTGGATGGCAGCAGCAGCTTTCCCAGCAGCAAGGGGGCAGTGGGAGGAGGAGAGGGAGTGGTGGTGGCGGTGGTGCTGTTGCTGCCAGGGCTGGTGGTGGTGGTGGCAGCAGCGGTGGTGGTGTTACGGGAAGGGGTGTTGCTGGTAGCAGTGGCGGTCACTGGGTGGCAGAGGGTGGCAAGAAGGTGAGCTGTCTCGCACTTCGTTAGTCTTAGGTGTGTTTTGGGAATTCGAGAAAAACACCTTCTGGAAGGGGTGGTGGTGGCAGCAGCAGTGGTGGCTATAGGTATAGGAAGGGGTGCTGCTGCTAGCAGCAGCGGCGGTCACTGGGTAGCAGAGGGCGGCAAGAAGGTGAGTTATCTGCACTGTCTCTGCTCCCAATATTGCATAACCTCTGCTGGTGGCAGCAGCGGTGGCGGGTATAGGAAGGGGTGTTGCCGGTAGCAGCGGCAGTCACTGGGTAGCAGAGGGCGGCAAGAAGGTGAGCTGTTCTCACCTTGCTGTAGGTATATTTTTGAGAAGCTTAATAAGAAGAAACCTACGTGAAGGGGTGGTGGGTGCGGTGGTGGTTGTATGGGAAGGGGTGCTGCTGGTAACAGCGGTGGTCTGAGGCACCTAAGATATCTTATCCATCTGTGTGTCCCTCCCACCCTGCCCATGTGTGCCTGCTGCAGGTGTATGTGACAGCATCAGGGAAGACCCTTTACGGCCGCATTGCCTATCGTCAACACCTCAGGGTAAGTCGTGAGTTGACACACCTTTGCACTGCAGGTCCTAAGGGACGATCACTTGAGGTCGTGGGTTGTCATGCAATATGGTATGCTGGCGGACCTTGTTTCACTGCAGGGTTCACAGTGGGGTTCACTCTGGGTTTCACAGTGGGGTTCACTGTGGGGATGGCTACGGGGGTTCAGTGTCACACTGCTGTTCCAGATTTCTTGCTGTCTGTTGCCTTGTGGTGTTCCACATTGCTACGGGGGTTCAGTGCCACCTGCTTCCTTTACTTCCACACACACACACACCTAAACAAGTGAAATTGTTTCTACCCACACACACCATATCTGCCCCGCCACAGGATTCCGGGAGGACGAGCAGGAGAGGCAAGGGCAAGCGAAAGCGCAAATGATGTGTTTCATTGTTACGGTGGGATGTGTATTAAGTGAGACGTGATGCGTTTACGGTGGGAATTGTGCGTCTTACTAAAAACGCTTAGTGTGGGTGAGTAGGAAGCGGCAGGTGCCCTGTGAAACAATCTTGTACGCAATGCAGGTGGCTTTCTCTGTGCTTGCATTGCCAGCTTATGACGAGTACTTCACTGACATCATCAGAAAGCGGAAATGTATGCGATCTTACGGCATAATTATCAGCAAGGTGCACTAAAATAAGCCTACAGAAAATGAATTGAGGTCGGAGTTGTTGAGCAAAGAACGCAACCGTGCAACCAGAGATGAGTTCTGGCATGACCTCTCATTTCTTCTTGCCATCTATCAACGGCTCAGATTCATCCTCCTCTTCACTGCCATCCGAGCCCTCCGTTTTATCACCCTCCTTCCCTCCTTTCTTCCCCTCCCCCTCCCCCTCTTCCTCCTCATCCTCACTATACTCGCTCATGTAGTCATCATCCTCATCATACCCCTCCTCCTCCTCCCCTTCTCCCTCCTCCTCCTCTCCCTCCTCGTCACTCTCCCCAGCCCCTTCTGAAGGCACGACTGCTCCCCTCGTTCCGGCCCTTGTTCTCTTGCCCACCTAAAGGGTGTGAAGGGGAGAAAAAAGGGGGAGCGACGAGGGAGAGAGTTGGGAGGAGAGAGAACCGTACACAACACCTTGTCGCTCTCTCTGAACCCTTCCAAAATCACCACTGCCCCACATGTTCAGCCCTTGTTCTCACCCCATCCCATCCCATCCCATCCCATCCCATCCCATGGTTAGGCTTGAAGATTTCGAAGATACACACACTTTGATCTTGAGAGGAACCTTCTTATCGCATCCGATCCAAACGTCACCATCACCATAACAGTCAGCGCATACACCCCTTCAGCCGGCGACTGAAACTTCCCAATCACCAGCAGCGCCACACCATCCCATCCCATGGTTAGGTTTAAAGGTTTCGAAAATACACGCACCTTGATCTTGAGAGGAACCTTCTTGTCACACCCGATCCAAACGTCGCTCATCACCATGACAGTCAGCCCATACACCCCTTCAGCCGGCGCCTGAAACTTCCCAATCACCAGCCGCGCGCCACCCTTCACCCTCTCAACCGCCTCCTTCACTTCCCTCGCCACCTCCGCATCATCAAACCCCTCCGCTTCCACCGTCTCTCTCGTATAATCCGCCGCCGCCCGAATCGCCGCCGTTTCATCCAGAAAAGTCACCCGCTGGGAGAGCCAGACGGAGTTCCCAGCTTGGTCGGCCAGCATCAGCCAGAAGGCCTCGTCTTTTCGGTAGGGAAAGTGCGGCATGTGGGGGTGGGAGACTACATGCCCGTTGCCGCGGCGGAGGGTGAGCCAGATGCGGAGGGTGACCACGTCGCCGTCCTGAATGCCGTCGTCTGCGCCCTGCGTGATGCACGCCGCGTCCACCAGCATCTCAGGCATGGTGCTCAGAGTCGCCTCCACATCACTGGCTTCTGCAGGGCTGAGACCCCCCACTGTGGTGAGCAGGTCGGTGCGCGCCTCTTCGCTTAGTTCCCTGAGCTCCTGGAGATTCTTAAGCTTCTGTTGTTGGACGAGGGGAGGGGAAAGGAGGAAAAAGGAAAGGCAGTGTGGACCAGCACCTCCACGTCGCTCGCTTCTGATGTGCTGAGTCCTCCCACGGTGGTGAGCAGGTCGGTGCGGGCCTCCTCTGTCATTTCCCTGAGCTCCTGGAAATTCTTCAGCTTCTGGTGCATGACGAGGGGAGAAAAAGGAGGGAGAGGGGAAGGGAATGTTGACCAGAATCTCAGGCATGGTGCTCCGAGTGATCTCCACATCACTCGCTTCTGCTGCAGTCAGACACTCCACACTGGTGAGCAGGACGGTTCGGACTTCCTCTGTCGGCATCTCCCACCCTCTCACACCGCTCCTCACCTGCCCACACCGCTTCTCACCTTGCTCATGAGTTTCTTCAGCACCCCCTCGTCCACATGCGGCAGCTGCAGCAGCGCAGCAACGCCCTCCTTCCAGGCTTTCAGCACTAACACCCCACCTTCCCACACTGTTCCTCACCTTCCCACACTGTTCCTCACCTTCCCACACCGTTCCTCACCTTCCCACACTGTTCCTCACCTTCCCACACTGTTCCTCACCTTCCCACACTGTTCCTCACCTTCCCACACCACTCCTCACCTGCCCACACCACTCCTCACCTGCCCACACAGCAGCTCACCTTTCTAGTAAGCTTCTTCACCACCCCCTCGTCCACGTGCGGCAGCTGCAGCAGAGCAGCAATGCCCTCCGCACTGCCCCCCTTGTCCGTCTGCTTGCGGGCCGACAGCGGCACGGCCTGATAGAAGCTCTGGGAGAGCTCGATTGCTCCCACTGCTGGCCGCAACCAGGCGTAGCCCACAGGGGGACGAGGGTAGAGAGAGATCTGGGGAGGGGTGGGGTGGTGGGGGGGCACAACAGCCGGAGCCACATGGAAAGTACTGGGGATGTGAGCCGACAGCGGCACAGCCTGATAGAATCTCTGGGAGAGCTCGATGGCCCCCACTGCTGGCCACAACCAGGCATGCCCCACAGGAGGACGAGGGTACAGAGAGATCTGTGGGGCAGGAAAGAGGAGGAGAGCACGTGGCGAAGGAAAGAGTGGGCTGGCCGGGGGTTGGGGGGTGGGGGGTGGGGAAAAGCATCAATGCGGATCCAACAGTGGCATGGCTTGGTAGAAGCATGGAGAGGAACGGGCGGAGGGGAGAAGGAAGAGTTCCTCCTCGGAACTTACATAGCTCAGAGGAAGAGAGAGAAGGAAGTTGTCGCAGAGGGGGCATATGAGGGAACGGGCGGAGGGGAAAAGCAGGCACCTCATCGAGTCCTGTTCGCCTTATAAGAGCAACGCCAAACAACCATACAATGCACCTTGGTAAGCTCCTCCATGAGCCGTGGCGTGAGCTTCAGAATGGTATTGAAGTCCTTCCTCAGCTCAGGTGGAACCAAGTCTGCCTGCCGTGTGAGCTGCGCCAGCAGCAGCAGCTCCACCTGCAAGTGACAAGGGCGAAAGAAGGAGGCAGGGAGGAAATGTGTGAGCTTCACATTGGTTGATTTGGCTCACATCTTTGGTGACAAATAGTCTTTGGTAACAAATAGTCTGCTCAGCGTGGTTCAAACACCAATGTTCAATGTTCGGTGGCTCAAAATTCAGGGTTCAAATCCTGGGCTTGCAAGTAAGTTTCAGGGTTTAGGGTGGAAATTACTTTTCAGAATTCTCAAAAGTAAATCTGGGCTTGCAAGTAAGTTTCAGGGTTCAGGGTTGAAGGTTCAGATGAGGCTTACCTTCCGAAGATCAGCAAAGGCAAATCACCTTAATGAGAGCGGGGAAGCGAGTCCAGAACTTCTTGGTCTCCTGCTTGAGGTTCTTGGGGTCGAGGTTGAGCTCATGGCGCACGAGGGAGAAGACTTTCTGCATCGGCTCCACGTCCGACCCGCGCACCTTCATTTCTAAGAACTCCATTGCCTTTGTCAGGACATCTATCACCTTGCTGTGGGGGCGCACAAAGGGAGGGAGGAATGGGGAAGGGGAGAGAGAGGAGAAAGGGGAGGTGGGGTCGAGGTTGAGCTCAGAGCGCACGAGGGAGAAGACTTTCTGCATGGGCTCCAGATCCGATCCGCGCACCTTCATTTCAAGGAACTCCATTGCCTTGAGTCAACACGTCTATCACCTTGCTGTGAAACACCAAACAGGGAAACGAAAGAGGGGGAGAGCAGGGGCATGGAGTTGCATGGGCTCCACGTCCGGCCTGCGCACCTTCATCTCTAGGTGTAAACAGAAGTGTTTTGAGACGTCTCAAATGCCGCAGAGTGTTTTTGAGAATTCTCAAAAATGATGCAGAGTGTTTTTGAGAATTCTCAAAATCATCTCTAGGTGTAAACAGAAGTGTTTTGAGACGTCTCAAAACACTTCTGTTTACACCTAGAGCATGGGCTCCACTCCACGACCAACCCGCGCACCTTCATCTCTAGGAATTCCATGGCTTTGGTCAGCACATCGAATCACATTGCTGTGGTGCACCCATAGCAGGATGGAGGGGGAAGGGGAGGGGGAGGGGGGTTCAGTCCAGGCCAGATTGAGCTCAGAGCGCACGAGCGAGGAGACGTGCTGCATGGGCTCCACGTCCGGCCTGCGCACCTTCATCTCCAGAAACTCCATGGCCTTTGTCGGGACGTCGATCACCTTGCTGTGGCACACCATGGGAGGGAAGGGGAGAGGGAAGGGGAGGGGGAGGGGAGGGGAAGGGGAGGGGGAAGGGGAGG